TGGAGCCAGAAGATAAGTGGTCCGTCTGGGTGGTGAATTTAAGGAACTGCGGATCTATTTGCAGAGGGCCACAAGCTGCAGGGAGCACGCCCCGGTGCGCGCTGGCCTACCGCCCAGGAAAGGGGGCACGCGTCACGTGTACCCTGCAGGGCCTGCTGCCGCCGCACCCCGAGGCTGGAATGCGGCCCCGCCCCGCTCCCGCGCCAGCAAAACCGCGCTCTCCCAGGGCACTGACGTCAATGAAGGGGGCGCCTTCGGCCGCCGCGCTAGGGCGGCCGAGGGCGGAGGGCGGAGGGAAGGGGCCCCGGCGGACACGCCCCTCGCCGCTGCTCCGCGGCTGATTGGGCCCGCGGAATCTTCGCACTCAGGTTTCGAGGCCGGCGAAGGGAAGGGGGCGGAGCATGGACACGCCCCTTTCCCCTCTGTTGCTGATGATTGGCCCACAGAGTCTCCACGTTCGATTTTGGAAGGCTCCCTCCGAAGCTCTCACCAAGGCTCGGCCGTGGATTGGCTCTTCCCCGGCTGGGGAACGCTTTCTCCCGGGAGTCGCGGCTGTGACCTAGGTGGCCAGCCTTGGGCAGCCAGGTACGTAGATCGGAGGGCTGGCTCGCGCTGCGGTGGGAGCGGGCGGCGGGCCATCAGAACCCGGGTGGCAGCGGCTACCCGAACCCGCAGGTCCACTTAGGGCCCAGCGTTGTGCGAAGCGGCCACGTCTGAGCCCCGGGGGCTGACCCGTGCTGGGGATGTCGCCCTGCGACCTGGGCCAGGATATCCCGTCCCAAGCTCTCGTCCTGTGGGTGAACGCCGCCAGGTCCCTGTGAGCACCTTCGCAGCAGGAAGCGTAGAGCTACGCCCGCCCTTTCGAAAGGCCGTGAAGGGGTTGGAGTGCGCACATCTTAGCCTGCCCCATCCCGATTTGAGGTCTGTCGGCGCTGCCCTTCAGCGTGGTGAGTAATCGCTCTGACTCCTCACGGGGCCGTGGAGCGCTGAGGGCGCCGAGGCTGGCTTGGGAGACCTGACTTTCGATCCCTGCGCCTTCCGAAACCCGCAGAAGCAGATAGCAGGCTCGGAAAGGTTTCAGAGCCTCCTGGGTCGTGCCTTCCCCTGAAGACCTCGTCAGCCATCTGGCAGAACAAAAATAACAGCGGTTGAGGGGCTGGGCGCTGGGGTCATACTACCTGGGTATATCCAGCCTCACCACCTACCTCCTGTTTGACTTTGGGCAAGTTACTTAACCTTTCTGAGCTCAACTTTCTCATCTGTAAAATGGGTATAACCTATAACCATAGCGCCGCCTCATGGGGTGAGGATTAAAAAGATCACCTATTTGAAAGCGATGTTCTGTGCTTGACAGGGAGCAAGCTGCCTCAGTGGCAGCTGTGATTTAAAAGTGCACAGATGAATCCATCTCCCTTACCCTCATTTCCCAAGAGTAAAGGTCCGTTTTGAGGGAGTTTCATGAAAATGACAATGATTCTATAGGGCCTGGTTGTTAAACAGCCTTTCCCTTACATCACTCATTCATGATGCAGTGTACTGGGATGGATGCTTTCACATACTTTTATCTCCCTTATTCCCTTACAGGTTATTTATTCTCACTATTCTGATGATGAACAAAATGAGGCAGGGGGAAACAGGCTTGTCAATGTCACCCGGTTTTCAGAAGCACAGCCAGAACTCAGGGTTCTTGAACTCTTGAAAAGAGTTATTCCTTCATCTAGAGTTTATTTTCCAGTCGTATCTGAGTATGGGTCTAGGGGTAGGGCCCAGTTCCTTTCTCCGCTTCCACATCAGGTTTGGAGACCCACATGTATGCAGTTGCCTCAGGCACTGCTGGAGGAGGCTAGGCCCTGAGGCCTGGGGGGCTCACATGGCCATGTGGACTGGGCCTCCCAGTGGAGGAGCCACAGATTTTGGCTGCTGTCCAGTGGTGGGGGAGCAGGCCAGGGCCACAGCGTTGATTTGGGCCTTGGGCCAGAGCCTCCAGTTCTTTATCCAAGAGGCCCTTTGCCTCCAATTACAGACTATTACCATCAGCAGGGTTATCTGAAGGAGGGGAGCTGAGTGGGGAAGCAGTTGCTGCCCAGCTCACGAAAGTGCGTTCTGCCTCTCGTGGTTACCTGAGCCTCCTTGAGACCACGATCGGAATAGCTGTCTAAACTGAGCTTCACATACTACAAAGGATGCTCAATTGTGTACCCTATTTATGTATTACAAATTCATTGTCTGGTGAGTCACTTTTTAAATATACTTCTTCGTTTGAGCTCTCTCGTTCATTTATTGCCTATTTCAAAACAAGTTGAACTTTGTCATTTTCCACATTTGGTATTTACTTTGTGGGTTCATTTTTAAGCTAGTTTATGTCAAACTGAAGTATTTTGCAGTGAGTTTTTATTCATTTGCTCACAGACCCGTGTTTATATTCTTTGCTGTCAGCTCTGGAATGAAAGATCCATTTGTAATCTTTTAATATCCTTGCGGTGGCATTTTCCAGTTTAAAAAAAGTACCATTGTTCAAGTATACACTGATTTTCCTAGATTCAGGTCTTGTCCAAGAAAATAGGGGGAAAGAACTCATTGAGTAAGATGAGAGAGGTTTCTTCTGGGATGCCTGGCTGCCTCAGTCGGCGGAGCATGCCACTCTTGATCTCGGTCTATAAATTCAAGCTCCATATTAAGTGTAGAGATTACTTAAAAAATAAAACCTTTAAAAAAAAACCCAGTTTCTTCTGATAATACAAGTGTTCTGGCTCGTTTTCTGGAAGTTTGCATCTAATCTTATGGAAACTCCACTGATTTTCATTCTCAGTCTGACTGCTGGCTCAAGCCCAGGGTGGCAGGCAGAGCTAAGAGTGAGGATCCTTGAAATCTGGAGGTCCCAGGGTGCATGGAGGGTATGTTTGAAGCTGGAGGCTTAGACTCCCCCACAAATTTTGTTGGTGTGTTTGTAATTCACTATAACTCAGACACTAGAGGCTGGAGGTCGGGCCGTGTAGGGCCTTGTAGCCACACACAGGTGGCTAGGAATATCTGGGAAGTTAGACTCCAAGCCATCCCTGAGACAGCACTGCTACTTAAGCTGGTTGCCATTCTCTCTGAAGGGAGGGTGAGATTGCCCGAATCTGAGAGAAACGATACCACCTCTTCTCCCACCACCCAGACCAGCCTAGGAGTGTGTCCCAGGCTTGGCCGTAGCCAGCCTAGGTCCTGGGGGTGCCTTAGAGCGGTGAGTTCTCTGTCTTCTCCCAGACCTTAACCCCACATCCCACCAGCAAAACAGTGTCTTGTCTCCAGGGAAGATTGAGGAGGGCAGAAAAGAGGAACTACTGGTTGGGGAATTTCCTGGCACCTAATTAGCCAGGCCTGTCCACACATGTTGCGTCTAGGCCTTGGCAGCCAGGCAGACCCAGTCACTGCTTCCGTACAGACCTAGCCTCATCAGAGAATCCCTAACACCACACACGTCCTTGGAGACCAGAGGCATCAACCTCTTCTTACAGATGTAAGGGGGAAACTGAGGCCCACAGAGGCGAAGTGCCGGAGGGCCCCCCCAGCCAGCGAGTGGCAGGACTAGGGCTCAGAAGCCAGCACTGTGTGCCGTGGGCTGCGTTACAGTTCCAGATCTGTTTTGTGGAAGCTGGGGATTTTCCTCTTCAGACTGCCACAGGTTCAAGGCTAGAACAGCAGGCCACACAGTAAACAGCTCTGACGCTAATGAAAAGATTAAAATAAATTCTACAGCCCCGCCCTTGCCTTATGTGTGGGCGGGCCATGGTTCTTCTTTTTCCACCGGCAGGTTTCCCACTTGGTGACTTCGGTGAGAAGAGTGAAATATCTCTCACAGAGATGACAAGCCAGCAGCGTGCTTGGAGCTTGGTTGTGAAGGCAACTGAGGTTTTCAGACACGGCTGCAGCCCTTCACACCAGGTCCTGGCCTTGGCCGAGCCCCTGGCATTGAATCTGTCTCAGCTTCCTGTGCTCCTCTGAGCTGGGAGGAGGGTAACCCGATTCCTGGAATTACGTTGAGGATGAACCATCATGCATATTGTCGTGTCGCCTGACGCAGAGTAAATGACCCAGAGTCAGCTTTTTTATCAGCCTGAAAGTGTTCCCTGGTGACTGTTGTTTTCTGGTCACAGTACATTTTAATCATCCAGCTCAGGAGAGTTCATTACTACACATACTAGGGTTTTTTTTGTTTGTTTTTTTGTTTTTTTTTTTTAAAGATTTTTTATTTATTTGACAGAGATCACGAGTAGACAGAGAGGCAGGCAGAGAGAGAGAGGGAAGCAGGCTCCCCGCTGAGCAGAGAGCCCGATGCGGGACTCGATCCCAGGACCCTGAGATCATGACCTGAGCCGAAGGCAGCGGCCTAACCCACTGAGCCACCCAGGCGCCCACATACTAGGTTTTTAATTGGATTCCGTAATAGTACCTATGGAGAGGTAGATTTTAAAATTCCCATTTCCAGATAAAAGCACAATTTTTATGGAGTTCATTCATCTGAAAGTTTTCTGCAGGTTTATTTTAGTTACTGAACTCTTTGAAGAGTGGGGTTCTTGGGGCACCTGGGTGGCTATGTCGTTAAGCATCTGCCTTCGGCTCATGATCTCGGGGTCCTGGGATTGGGCCTCACATCAGGCCCCTTGCTCAGTGGAGAGCCTGCTTCTTCTCTCACTCCCCCTGCTGTGTTCCCTCTCTCACTGCGTCTCTGTCAGATAAATAAATAAAATCGTAAAAAAAAAAAAATGAAATCCCTATTTAAAAAAAAAAGAGTGGGGTTTGTTTGTTTAAGATTTTATTTATTTATTTGACAGACAGAGATCACAAGTAGGCAGAGAGGCAGGCAGAGAGAGAGGAGGAAGCAGGCTTCCTACCGAGCAGAGAGCCCAATGCGGGGCTCGATCCCAGAACCCTGAGATCATGACCTGAGCCGAAGGCAGAGGCTTAACCCACTGAGCCACCCAGGCGCCCCAAGAGTGGGGTTCTTATGAGAGGAGGCCTAGACACTGGGACAGGGTGAGTGTGGAAATTACTGGAATAAGGAGGGTTGCTATTGGGGTGAGGAGTAAGGGCCAGTTACATTTGAGGAGTCTGAACGCAATGGAGAGAGGTCTCAAACTCTCAGAACAAAGGCAGGTGAGAGTAAGGGCAGAGAAGCTGGGAATGCTTTATATGATTTCCTTTCTGTTTGTTACAGTGAGCATGGACATTTTGTATTGAAATGTATTAATTTTTATTCCCTTTTTAGTCTAGTTCCTGGGTGACAGGTGTCTCCATAGCTCTCTGGAATGAGGTGAGGTCTGGTGTAACTACCTGACCTTTGCCATTAGGCCTGGGGCTGAGGGGTGAAGGGAGCACAGGCAAGCCCTCTGCTGGCTCAGGCCCAAACAGCGGAAAAGGGACCCTATCATAACCTGACCCAAGTACAAAAGTCAAGGCCAAAAGGGTCATGGGGGTGGGGGTTATGAATCTGCATTTATTTGGCTCTTACCCTGTACCTGATACCACACTAGGCACGCTCAGTCCATAGAGCAATCCTGAGAAGTGGTTATGAAACCGTTTACAGCTGAGCAAAGGGGCTCAGAGAGGTTGAGTAACTTGCCTAGGGTCACCGCTAGGAAGGTGGCAGAGCTGGGATTTGAGTCCAGTTCTGTGTAATACCGAGGTCCTTGGTCTTCCTTGTCTCTAGTCTGCTTCCCAATCTCATAGCGTTTTCAGGCTGTACTGGAGACAAGGGTAGGGTGAGTGAGCCCCCTTTTATTATTTATTATTCAAATTGAACTTTCTAGAACTGAGGATGACCATTTAATTGAATTTTCATTTCCTATGAGGGGGCACTGACATGAGCCTTCCTTTTATCGAACTTTCTTACAGATTTCAGCCTCTGCCCATGGTTGCATATCCTAACCCTGGAGCTGCCTCTTCGCCCCTGCATTCCTCGCCATGGCTTTTTGGACTGCAGCTAGATCTCATTGTCTATTTCATACTGTGTTTGCTGAACTATTTGAACTTGGTGTCTCTCCAGGGTCTTGAAAGTAGGTGGGATGACTGTTCTCCATGTTATAAATGGGAAAGCAGAATATTAGAACCTTGAGCACTGTTCTTACCACTGTCTTCCCTCAGTCCTCGCTGTGACTCTGTGAAGCAGAATTGGTGTGGGAACCAGCTGAGCCAGGCAGTGGTGGAGATGGCTGGAAGTGGGATTCCAGTGTGGTCAGCCCAACCCCATAACCCTCCTCTTCTGTGCTACAGAACCTGGGCCTTCGCATAGAGGGCTGCTGTGCTCACGTGTCAAGGAGGTCACATGACTACAACTCCTAGAGCCATGCCTGGTACCTCTAAGTGCTCGACACCGCGCGGTGGCTACTCCCAGCACTATCCTTAGGACCTAGGTATCCTGGGGTCGGCCTGGGCTTACAGCCAGACAGACCTGGGCTCTGCTCCCAGCTCTGCACTTATGCAACGCTTTGTGGCTGCAAAGGATCATTTCAGCTGAGTTGCATTTCTTCATCTGTACGGTGCGGATAAACCATTCTGACGTCACAGGCTGCCGGGACTCCTCAGTGAGATAGTACGTGCATTGCACGCATAAGCACTTTGTAATAGTTTGACTGTCATTAGTGATCTTATTTCCCTCAGGTGCCCTGGAAGGTAGAGTGACTTCAAGTCAAGACTCACTGCACGTTAGTTCCTGGAGAATAGAAATGCCAGAAGGCTTGCATTCACCAGGACCCCAGGTCTGGGAAGGGCCCCATAAGCTGATGTCTCTCCATGCTTTCCTTCCCCAGAGCACCCAGGATGGGCACCCCAGCCTCAGTGGTGAGCGAGCCGCCCCCGTGGCAGGCCCCGGCTGAGGCCCGGGGCCGCAAGCAGGCATCAGCCAACATTTTCCAGGACGCTGAGCTGCTGCAGATCCAGGGCCTGTTTGAGCGCAGTGGGGACCAGATGGCCGAGGAGCGGGCACAGATCATCTGGGAGTGTGCAGGAGACCACCGTGTGGCAGAGGCCTTGAGGAGGCTGCGTAGGAAGAGGCCTCCCCGGCCGAAACCCCTGGGCAACTCACTGCACCACTGCAGCCGGCTCAGGTGGGTTCCTGGAATTGGAGGGCGGAGGGAAGGTGAGCGCTAAGGCTGCCCCGTCCACCACTGCCCAGCGCTACTGACTTGGCCTCACTGTGAGTACCAGCCATGGCAGGGGCAAGGTCTATTCCATGCCCATGATCTCTGTTACTATGGGAGTCATACTGGACCCCGTGAACTTCCACGGGAAGGCAGGCCTGGGTCCTGATTTGCAGTGATTCTCAGACAGGTGGGAGGGACTATCGTTTGGGCGGAAGATAATTTGTTTCCTTGTGGTAGAAGAGGTAACAATCACAAGTAAGCCTGGTTAAAATCTCGCCTGTGGAATTATAGACTATAGTGTAGGAGGGTTCCATAGAGGTACTGAGGTTTGAAAAGTGTTGAGGAACTTTAAATTTTCCCTAGTCATCCGCCTTTGCCTAGGTCACTGACAGCCTGGGAACAGCAAGCCCCAGGAGGTCAAGCTGAAACACACGGCCTAGCCAGTCGTTGTGGGTTATGCTCTGGGCTCTAATTCTTCCCGCTGCCTTCTTGGGGCCTCCAGTCAAAGCACTAGACTTGAACATGTCTTCTGAGTCAGCACGTCCAGGGGAAGCAGATCGGGCCCTTCCTCAGATGAACTCCAGCTGACTTGCAATCCCTGTTTAAAACACTTTGCTAAGGAGGTTACTTGGTTCCTCCAGTCTCCTATCATGGCTGACCACTGATGGCTGTCACGAGTGCAGCATGAGGAAGATGGAGAAATGCCGAGTATCACACACCCTGATAAACCTAGTCCAGCTCTCTTTATGGAAAAGACATCTGAAAGCTTTGCCTGGTCTTTAGCTCTCAGAGGGCCAAAGCCCTGGGCTTATTTTACCCCAAACAGTGTGATTTAATAGATCCTCATGACCACAATCTCTTTAGTCCCCATTCTGCTCTTCCTATTGACATGGGCCTATCACACACTTGTTCTCGCAGAATCCCCGAGTCCTGCGCTCCACTGGCTGACCCACAGAGTGGTACCACGGAGACAGCTTCTGATGATCAGTATCTGAACTCCAGAAGGACAAGTGCTAGGATCCGCCGGAACTGGAAGAAGCCAGGCCCTACAAGCTACCTCCATCAGATCAGACACTGATCCAGGGAAGGAGCTGGCAATGGCAGTATCTTCCCCAGGAATCACAGGGACTTTTGCCAAAGGGCCCAGGAGGTGAAGAAGGAAGAGAGATTTGAGGCAGACACCCCCACAGGGGTAAATGAAAGACCACAGCCCATTCAGAAGAGGACTGGAAATGTCCCCTGAGCTCTAGGTTATGTGGGACCCATTCCTCACCAGAATGAGAAACAGTGCCTCAGCTCTTCCCATCTTACAGTATACCTGGGCTGCATGATTATTTCCCTGAGGGTCACGTGATGGGCTCTCGGACTGAGCATCTCACCACTCCTGCTACTAACCCTCCTGCTCCTCCTGTAACCCATGGTCCAACAGCCGGCCCACACCCTGCCCCTGTCTGGCTAGCACAAGGAAACCGTGGTTTAAGTGGCAAAATAAAAACATTCATATCAACAGCAGTTTGTCTGTCACAAAAAGAGGATCCCCAAATGGACACTCTGGAGCCATGGGATGAAAGGTGGTGCTTACTGCGGGGAAGGGGTGTTCCCAGGAAGGAGGAAACAGGACAGGCCTCCTTTTCCCTGTGAGCTCCCCCAATCCCCTGTGCCAGAGCCTTCTCTTCCAGAAGCTATCTGGTTGGGAGATGGCAACATTTCTCTAAGGCAGTCCTGATCCACAGGAGAGAGGTGGCTCCTGGACTCCTGCCAGGTCTAGAAGGGGAAGGGCTATTCCAGTAGGCCTTGCATAGTGAGCAGTGAGTCTGCAGTCAATGTGCTGGCTGCCAGCCCTTCAGCGGGTTTCTTTACCCCCATGGGCCAACCAGCCGTACTGAGGTGGGACAACAGCCGGACCAATCATTCTTGAGCCTCCGGCATTATCTGAGGTTTCCTGGCCTAAAAACCTTTAAGGTGAGGATTTTGATCACTCTGCCAGCTTTGCCTCAATAGCATATTATGTGCTCATCAGCATTCAGCTCTACTCCAAGTAATCCTATCTGTCCCATTACCCATCACTTAAAGGACTCAGGGTTCAAAGTGCTTCAAGCAGGCTACGAAGTGCACACAGAACAGGGCTGCCCTCTTGTGGCCCAGAAGAGAAGCCGAGTCCATATCTCCTCACCCCAAACCCTTAGAGCTAGATGATTTTGTTACTCAGAATTTTTCCAGCTTTTAGGAAGTAGTCAGTGCAAATAGTGCCTAATCCCTAGTAGGGAAATAACTCGTAACGAAACATTAATATTTCTGCAACAAATATACACACACTAAGAGAAAAATATGATGGTTACAAATAGCTTCAATTCATACCAGCGTAGGTTCAGGTCACGTTTTGGTGTCAAATGAGTTAATGAAAATATTAAGCACTGGGACTTCGGAAATGAGGACCTGTATAACTCAGGAGCCATTATCTCAGCAACTCCATGGAAACACATGGTCCTTTGTCCTTAAAATTGTATTCTACCTTGTCTTCCTTTTACCCGAGATCACTAGACAAAAAAGGTCAGAATTGGACTTGTTATTCATACATTTGCATTGATTTAAATACATTACATACAAGTTCTACAGTGCATTGGAAGAACAACACAGGCAGCAGCACTCTCCCAGCCCAGCCTCACCTCCCTGACAGGGGGACAGGGCCTGGGGCTGGCAGAGAGCTGGGCTGTCCCATGAGTGCCACCCAGAAGCCTCCCCTGGCAACTTTGCGCCCCCAACTCTCCCCAAGTCCACATTCAAGGCAACCTGAGTACAGACTTCCAGGAGAATGGAGACATGCCGAGAAAGGATACCCCACATTCTTGCCTGCCAAGACTGGGATCAGCCCCCTCATACGTTGGACCCAATTTCCTTCTCATCACAGAGCTGGTCTAGATGAGGGCGATGTGCGGATCTACTTGGCTGGGGGAAGCAACCAGCTTCCTCTAAGACTGCCTGGACTCTCTCACAGCCCAGGTGGGAAGCTTTACCAACAGGTCTGTATAGAGAGGTCTTTGGAGAGCTAAACACACCTGGGTCCCCTCTGGCCTCCGAAAGCCCTGCTGCTCCTGTAATCTGGGCACAGGCACTGTCGCCACCACGGTCCCCAAGGCCAGATTCCAGGTCAGCCGAATGAGATTGTCAGGGCTAAGAGCTATGTCTTTGTCCACAGGGCATGCATAGCCAGCTCCCAGAAACTTCCTGACAGCTGGAGGGAACCCCACCAGAAACTGGCTCCTGGGGGCTGGGAGGCAAAGGGACCAGCTTGGCCCAGCTGACAAGAGGACTGCACATCTCTGCTCTGCCTCCTGGGCAGCGGGAGCTGGGCAAGCAGAGGGCACAGAGCCATAGTCCTCGCTCCCTTTCTTTGGTTGTTTTTCAAACCGTCAAGATAGTTTCTTTCCAAGGCTGATTGACCAATCGCAGGGTGCCAGAATCTTGAAGTGTCCAGTAGCGCAGAACTGCCCCTTAGCCACAGATGGCACCCTCTTCGCTCCCTCCGGAGGCCATTCTTTGCTTTGGTGTGGAAAGGGCTTGGACACCTGGCAAGGGGGCCAGCTGAGGGAAGAGACATGGAAGGATGAAGATGCACACCGAGCTGGGCAGGCGCTGGGGGGCAGTCTGAAGGCCCTTCTCCTCTGGGCCCTGCCCTTCCCAAGAAGCCAAGGAAACACTGGCCAGTAACAAGAAGTCGGGAGCAAAAGGAAGCTGCCCACTAGGAAGAGAATGAGTCCCGTTACTCCCACCAGGCAGCAGTGGTAGCATAAAAAGAAGTCCAGGGACCTAATATCCTGTCCTCTTATGAGCTGAGATGCAACTCACTGAGACCCAGAACTGAACCCCTAAGTCAAAAGTGTTGAGAAAAAAAATATCTAACAACAGAACAAATTAGAGGACTTGGGGGAGTTTATCACCCCAACTCAGAAAGCAAGGCTGGGATAAGTTTACCTACAGGCCAATTACAGCTCCCAGCATACACTTAGGCCAAGTGGATCGCTTCCACATGCTGGGAGGGCCACCTCTTCCCTCTTGCCTTTGCCTGAATGGCGGGTAAACTGCAAGCCTGGACTAGGGAGGGCAGAGAGCAGAGCCGATCTCTATGATCATATGCAGAACCACTGAGAGTTCTGGAGCAAAAGTGTCCTGGCCAGGAGAACTGGGTTGGGAGGCTTCTAGTCAGCCTATTGCACTGGTGGGAGAAGGGGAAGAAAACCTGGCAAAAAAAAACAAAGGAAAGGTGTGGCTTCTGTCTGTCCCAACTGGTGAGTCACCCAGTGGCTCTCTGAATCACCCAGCCGGCGTGGTCCATGGGAGTAAGGAACTGTGAGGCACCTGAGTGTCTGGGTCCATGCAAATTTAGGTCTGGATTACAGGTTTCTGACCTGAGAGGATCTGGGATTCTGCCTGGGTTTTGCTACTAATATTTAAATTCGTATTTGTGTGTTCATTTTCTGATGCAGAATATAATGAGAATTGCCACAGAGCAGGGTGTCAGGGAGGGAAGGGAATTTCCCAGCTTGCCCCCATGGAGGCTCCAGCCCTCCCTAGCAATCAGAAGGGCCCAACAGCACACACTGTCCCTCCGATTGTGCTTCTCCCTGTGCTTGGGAAAGCCCTGAGGGGCTGGCGAGCAGAGAAGAAGGGTTCTTAAGGGCACTGCTCTCCACCAGCATCTCTGGCTTTTCCTGCAACCCACTCCCCAGGCTTCCTCCTAGCCCAAGTCTCAAACATGTCTTTGTCTGCCTCTTGGGCTACCACCACGAAAAGAAGGGCTTCCGACTCTGAAAGCTCTGTGTGTAGGACTCGCTAGAAGACCGCTGGTGGGAACGGGCCGTCTCGACAATCACGGGTGGCATCTGGACAAGGTGCAGGGGACTCTTGTTGTCTTTCAAGGCCTGGGTCAGATTTAGGATCTGCAGCAGGAAAAATAAGATCAGTGAGAGAAAGATCAAGGCATCCTGGTCTGCCTCTGAAGGGTGACCTGCTGATAGAGTGCTCCCATAAATCAATACAAAACAAACACATTAATGGAAAATTATACAAATAGGGTGTTTCCAAAAATAGAATATAAGGGGCAAAATATAGAAAATGGAAATCTCTCTGGTCATTTAAAAAATGCAAATTAAAATCAAAACCTCCCACTTTTTGCCCTTCTTATTAGTAAGGATACAGAAGAAGAAGACGACGAGGCCTCAGATTTGAGGAGAGTTCAGAGCCAGGCTATGAGGCTGGACCCTGGGCCAGTTCTTCAGAAAGGCAAGTGGATGATAAAAGCTTAAACGTGAACAGGCCCTCTGAGTGTGCAATTCCATTTATAGGAACTAAAGCAGCAATCATAGATATGCACAGTTTCAACGAATAGAGTGCAGTATTGTTTGTAACAGTGAAAATGGTATAAATGCCCAAGAGTATGGGATCAGTTAACGATCTCAGGGATAAGAAACAGCAATTAAAAGATCTATTTTATTGGCATGGAAAGCTGATCCTGATGTCAACAGACAGAAAAGGAAGGAGACAGGAGCCAGTATTATAATGTGACTCTACTTTCATTTTCTGAAATTCTATCTTCCAATCTACCTATCTGCAGAGAAGAAAAATTCTGCAAGTTGGCAGTGATTTTCTGGGTCAAGAAATTATAGGTGATTTTTATTTGTTCATTGTTGTTTATCCTATATTCTCTGATTTTCCTACAAAGACTATGTATTTTGAAAAAAGCCAGCATTTCACTTGGCTTCTCTCTCAAATGCTGTCTCTTTATCAGTTTTTTAAACTTAAGGAAAAGTTAAAAGATAGTATAGAGTTCTTGCACACAATTTACTCAGTTTCCCCTAATTTTAAATTTTCACATAACTACAGTCCATTTACCGAAACTAAGAGATTAACACTAAAACATTACTATTAACCAAACTTCAGACTTAACTCGGATTTCATTAGATTTTCCAGGACTGTTCTTTTTCTATTTCAGGATCCCATTCGGGAAACCACATTGCATTTAGCTCTTTACCAACTTTTGTCCATATTTTACAAATATTTAAGAAATGTGTTCATGGCAGGGGTGCTTGGGTGGTTCAGTGGGTTAAGTGTCTACCTGGGCTCAGGTCATGACCCCAGGATCCTGGGATTTGGAGTCCCGCAATGGGCTGCCTGCTCTAGCAGGGTGTCTGCTTCTTCCTCTCCCCAACTTGGGCTCTCTCACTCTCTCTCTCTCTCAAATAAATAAATAAATAAATAAAATCTTTAAAAAATATATGTATATATTTTCACAGGAACGTTTGTCAAAATGAGAATCACCACCATTTATCTTCTCTGATAGGATAGTACAAAAATGGAAGTTGTCCTATGATAGCCTATACGCTTGCTTGCTTTTTAAAAGTTCCCTCCTTTCTTTCTTTCTTTCTTTTTCTTTCTTTTTAAGATTTTATTTTTAAATAATCTCTACACCCAACATGAGGCTCAAACTCACAACCCCAAGATCAAGAGTCACATGTTCTACCAACTGAGCCAGCCAGGTGCCCTGTTGAGCGTCTTCTTTAAACTACTGAAGATTTTCCTAGCCAGGCCACTGACACAGGGGAGGGTAAGCAAGGCTGCACCCCCAAATCACACAGACACATAGCCCTCAAGCCACAGATATCCTTGGTCTGCAAATGCTGCCCATAAAGAGGCAGAGATACACCTGAAACAGAAGGGGGAGGTCTGAAGTGGAACCTACCAGTAATTATTTTTTTTACTTAATTGTTTTGGTATCTATTAGAATCCTCCACTGCTTCAAAACCCTTGAACACAAAACTCAGGGTAGAGAATGAAAAGGAGGTTCAAATGGAATTGGAGTGAACTGTGCAGGAGACTACCCAACTTAAGAGGATGTTAAACCTGTCCTGGCTGGTTCTTCCTGTGCTTCGTTTTGTTCTTTGGGTTACAAGCTGCCTCTCATGCATGCTCAAGCAGCAGGGGTAAAATGTCAAATTATCTACAACTTACTTTCTAAAGATTTGGCCAAAAAAAATATATTGATCAGGGGCGCCTGGGTGGTGGCTCAGTGGGTTAAAGCCTCTGCCTTCAGCTCAGGACGTGATCCCAGGGTCCTGGGATCGAGCCCTGCATGGGGCGCTCTGCTCAGCAGGGAGCCTGCTTCCCTTCCTCTTTCTCTGCCTGCCTCTGCCTACTTCTGATCTGTGTCTGTCAAATAAAATAAATAAAATCTAAAAAAAATATATATATATATATATTTATTTATTTATTTATATATATCAATCTACCTAGGAGGAGACAAGTTACACAGGTATATTAAAGAGAGAAATTACAGGGATATATAGAGATGGATATTATTCCGATAGATAATCAGCAGATAAACAAGCAAATAGATACAGAGGTAAAGCAAGCGTGGACGACTAAGTGTAACAACTGGTGAATCCAGGGAAAAAGTCTACTCTTTACTGAAGCTTTGAAATCTTTCAAATTAAAAAGCTGACGAAAGATTGATAGCAGGCATATAATGCTAAAGGATAAACATCGTCTTCGAATATGCCATTTAAAGAGGCTTTACCTCAGACTTGGCACTCTTTCTAACACCTGGTGTGACATCTTTACAGTGAGTAACAACTTCTGTCACCCAACTCCGTCTCTCTGGGAGTTCGGACTCTTCCCCTCTGGCTCAGGGCCCTCATACAGGCACTCCGTGGGTAGGCTCGGGTAGGTAAAGGGTTGTGACCTCCTTTCCCTGTGGCAGGTCAGGCGTCTGGAAGGCAAAGGCTTGTTCTGCCTCGGCATGTGACTGGTAAGCTAAAAAGGAGCTGGATGCTCATGAAGCTTCCGGTGTTTCAGAGGTAGGCACTCTAGGTTAAGAGACCAAAAGGCCCTCAAAGGACATTAAGGGCATAAAACGGAGAGAAAGATAAAATCACTCTCCCACCCACCTTTTGCCACTCTAGATAACATCCTTAACTGGATACAAGAGAGGGGTGCTATGGTTTTGACAAGGGAGTAAGATGGAAAGGGATTAGGGAAGATAGTACAACAGGGACAGAGGCACAGCCTGCATAAACTTGAGAAGAAGTGCATTCCTTTATGCTAAGTTCCACAATATCACAGTACATCATGTGGTTTTTAAGGTTTCCAAAAATCCTGCCAGCTTAACTGGGCCCTTACATGACTTGAGAAATGTAGGAAGGCCACGTTACTGGTATGCAGTCAACTGTAACAATTGCAGCTCTTAAAACCTTTGTACGTCCCATTTCCAAGGAAACACAGACTCAGTAATCCCAAGAGTTGCTCTCACCAGAACCCTTTACCAAAACGGTAGGAAGAGGTAAATGCCTAATTACAACTAGAAAGACCTTCCTATCCTTTAAGGAGGTGAAAGTTGCTTTTTCTTTTTCTTTTTTTTTTTTTTTTAAAGATTTTATTTATTTATTTGACAGAGAGAGATCACAAGTAGGCAGAGAAGCAGGCAGAGAGAGAGGAAGGGAAGCAGGCTTCCCGCTGAGCAGCGAGCCCGATGCGGGACTCGATCCCAGGACCCTGGGATCATGACCTGAGCCGAAGGCAGCGGCTTAACCCACTGAGCCACCCAGGCGCCCCGAAAGTTGCTTTTTCTATACACCAAATCATAAAACAGCTAATGCACATTGAGAACTTCAATTCATCACGCACTACTCCAAATCATTTATTTCATAATAACCCTATGATGTAGGTGCTATTATTAACCCTAGGTCACAAATGGAGAAGTTAAAGGAAGGAGAGATTAAGCAACTTCTCCAAGACCTCACAGCCAATAAATGACAGAAGCAGAACCCAAACACAGGCACCAAGATCAGTGCGTGCCCCTTAACCACTAGGCCATCCCAGATCTCTTTAAAGTGATAAGAATGTCAATGCCCTGTGAGTTTTAAAACAATTTTTCAGGCATAGTCTTTACTATATTTTGGAAGATCAACAGTGCCCTAGGAGTTTCCTTAGCTCTCTTTGAAGGTGAAGTGGAGAGAGAAGAAATAATATGACTTGTAGGGGTGCCTGGGTGGCTCAGTCATTAAGCGTCTGCCTTCAGCTCAGATCATGATCCCAGGGTCCTGGGGCTGAGCCCTGCAACAGGCTCCCTGTTCGGTGGGAAGCTGGCTTCTCCCTGTCCCACTACCCCTGCTTATGTTCCCTCTCTTGCCGTGTCTCTCTCTGTCAAATAAATAAAATCTCCAAAAAAAGAAATAATATGACTTGTAACCATGATAACAAAAATTATAACCACAGCCAATATATGAGTACTAACCATGTGCTAGGTAATTATCTTTACTAAACACTTGATATGCATTATCTTATGTAATCCACTGCCCAACTCTGCAAGGTGTTATTATTGTCACATTTTATAAACAAGGCAGCAGAGGCTCTTGCCCAAGGACACAGAGCTTGTAAGTAGTGAACAAGTCTGACTCCAGAGGCTAGCTCTTAACCACCAAGGCATATGGCCTGCCTTGAGCAACTTGAGGACAGGGGCCACTGGGTAAATTTACCAATGAACCACCTAGCAACTGGCACAGAGCTGAGCACATAGTGCCTCACCAAGCACTGGATACCATGGAAAAGGTGGGAGATTTGCAAGAGCTCCCTTTCCTCTCCCACATGCTACGACAGAGTCATAAGTAAGTAAGGCATAGACTCCAAGGGTGTAAAACACAAGCTTTACACATTTACTCAACATGAGCACATGACCCTCCCAGAGAGATCCCAGGGATAACAACAGGAGGAAGTCCCAGGCTTACCTGTCCCCGCATGACAGCAATCTGCTTATGGAACTGGCCCCTGTCAAAACCAGGATCTTTCTGCAAAAGAGCAGAGATAAAGCCTGCATGAATCCCTCAGAAGAACCCATTTTCTTCCCCTAAACAGAAACTTTCTAATAAAGAAAACTTACATGGAGCTTATGAGACTTAGTGAAATTAACTACCACCCCAAGAACTCTGTTTCACAGATGGGGAAAGAGAACAAGTAAATATCTTGTCCTGAGTCTCATTATTATCTGACTCTACAGAACTTCAGGCTCTAGAGCACCATTTGCCAAGGAGAACTCTGCAGACACTGTGCAGCCCATGACACGCAGGATAAACCCACGGTGATTCACCACAGCTGTCAAATTTTTTTTTTTTTCCAAATTGCCCCAAACCAGGTCTTGCTGTCCACATGCGGGAATCTTGCTTGCTCTTCATTGGCTACCACAGGTCAGAGGAGTGTTAGCCATTCTCTCTTGGCTTGTATCAGGAGCCATTAGAAAAGCCATTAGAAATTCCTTCTTCCATATAGTTTTAAGGTTGAGGCTCCCAGGGCTAACCTTGAAGAGTTCATACAGGTCCTCCTCCAAGTCCTTGACGAAGTTAGGGTCCGATATCTTTGGAAGAATCAGATCTTTGATCTCCTTAGAGAATGGGACTTTTGCCTGGGGCAACCAGGCCCAGTAAAAGGGATCTGAAAAAAGGAAAAGCACAAAGCAAAGCTGCCCATCTATGTCCTCCACCTATCAGAGCACTGCAGAAGGCAGAATGCCCCTCTCACATGATATACAACAGGAAAGAAAATCACAAGGGATGTAAATCCGCTATAGAGTAAGTAGAGGAATTAGGATTCAAGGCCAGGACCGCAGAATCCCAGAGGTGGTGCTCTTTCTCAGACATTACGTGACCTTCCAGTGACTTGCCACTGAAGACATTCAGATGCTCCTTCTGAGAAGACAGACTGTACTGCAAAGGGGCTAATGACTTCCTACTTGTATCTCTCTCTCTTTCCAAGAGTTTCTCTGTTATTAACAGTACAGGGGCTGACTTCCAGGATGTCAACAAGGAAGACAGAACACTGACAATAGCTTCTATTTAGAAACACAAATGGGATAAATAAGATAGTCCTCAGAAAGTACGAGAAAAACAAAAACACAGATGAGAAAACTCAGCTGTGCGCTTTTAATAGGAATAATGTAAAGTAAAAATGACAATAATACTTTGCATTTTGCAGTACTTGCCGTATGTCAGCTACTGTGCTAAATGCATGAGCTGCATTATTCCATCAATTCTTAAAACAATCCTGTCGTAGAAGTATTATTATCTTCACTGCATAGAAGAGAAACTAAGCCTAAGCAGGAAAAGAGCCAGACCACAGTGGTCTTAGACTTACATGCCCTCCAGGAATCAGGATGCTTCAGGGGGAAAGCCAGCCCATTGTCTATGGCAGCCACCTTGATAACAGGCTCCTTCACCACCACCCAGTCTGTGTCCTAAAGAGCAAGGAAAGACCAAATACTTAGGGTCCCACCTACCTCAAGCCCTTTATAGTAGTAGCAGAGCACCCTACCTCAACCCCCACAGGCACCAATCCTTGGTCAACCTCTGACTAGTTTCCACAGTTCCTAGTCTTAGGACATTTATGGCACCTCTGATTTGGCCTATTCAAGGGTCTCAGAGTCCCTTATCTTAGGAAAGGTGCACTTCCCCGGAAGCTGCCACAGCCCTTGGTAAGAAGGAAACTGACAATAACAAAGATAACTCTGGGCCTTTCCTCCTAGTGAAAGGCAGTGAGTCCTGAGATTATGAAAAGAAAAAGGAAAAAGCAAATTATCAGCCAGCCAAGGTCCTTTTGTGTAGACCTTGACCAGATGCTACTTCACTGGTGACCACATTTTCCTATGACACAACAGAACCGCTCTGTGCAGAACTGGCCACTCTTGCACAAGAGTCTCTTGCCATTTCAATGATAAGGGAAAAGGACAAGGCTGATTGCAGAGTAGGGCAGTCTACCTATGAGAGCCCATCAGACACTCTCGTGACTGTTTGGCTCCCTACTTCAGGTTCACAAGTGCCATCACAGAAACAGGATATGTGGGTTGAGGATACCTGCATCAGAATCCCCTAGGATATCTTATTAAAAGAATGGAATCCTGAGTTTTACCCAGGACCTAGTGGGGAAAGGCCCAAAGAGTTTGTATTATTTTTAGTCAACTCTTCAGGTGATTCTGATGTCCCAAATATGAGAACCACTATTAGAGAAGGAAGTAAAAACACTATGAGAATGTGTTAACCAACCTATTGTGGTAAACATTTTGCAAAATATACATGCATTAAATCACCACGTTGCACATCTTAAATCTGCACAATGTTATATGTCAATTCTATTTAAATAAAGCTGGACAAAAAAACACTTATTATAAGGAATAAAAGTCAACCTTACTCTCCTATTCTAGGTAGCGTTCCTACTAATTCTTTAAAATGTGCAGACTGAGCAGGAATAGAAAAGCATGGTAGAGGATGAAAGCAATGAGAAAGTAAGGAAAGTTGCAGGAAGCAGCTTTTTCTAAACTGATGTTCTACGGAATTGTCTATTATGAGAAAAGTATTCTAAAAAAGTTTAGAAATTACTGGCCAAACAAAATTAAATAGATAAATTTAATGGACTACTTCTCAGACCATTACTATGCTCCTATGCAATGTGAATCTCCAAGAAAGGCATATGTAACATGTTCCAAACATATTTGAACCCTTCTTCATTCGGTATATATGAACATCATTCAATAAGATACCACTTAAAAAACAGATGGAGGGAAAACTCTATCAAATATTAACCAATCAATTTTAAATACATGTGCTATCTTGATTCTTCTGAATCTATGTGACTTAATCTCTGATTGTTATGTGTTTCTGTATTATGCATACACACTACCATAGCTCAGCCTCTTACCCGAGAGCTAGAACTATCCATTGGACAGTCATACTTAATCAGCCAGTTGTCATTGCCTCGATCTGTGAACAAAAACATGAAGTTAGAAAAAAGTGGGGTGACTTTCACGTTCAGTCATGATGGACTACATATTTTCGGCACTTGGTCCAATCACTCCACTGAGAAAACTATAAAAAACTGATAAAGTTTTTTTTAAAGATTTTACTTATTTATTTGACAGAGAGAGACACAGTAAGAGAAGGAACACAAGCAGAGGGAGTGGAAGAGGGAGAAGCAGGCTTCCCGCCGAATAGGGAGCCCAATGTGGGGCTCAGATCCCAGGACCCCGGGATCATGACCTGAGCCAAAGGCAGCTTAATGACTGAGCCACCCAGGTGCCCTAAAATATTTTTAAATCTCTTGAAGGTATTGGAGACTTTAACAAGACCATTAAGAGTTAAAGTGTTGAGACCTGGGAGAGAAAGGCAATTCAGACAGGAAGTCCATTATTTGTGGCTTCTTTTCTCCTAGAGCACCTGCTGATAAAGAGGATGAGAGGTGCAGCAGTGTTCTAACAGCCTTGTGGAGCTGGGAAGACAAAATCCTAGTTCAGTGACTGATAAGGGGAGGAGACTATGGTAAATAACCCATGCTTTGGGTTGAAACCTGACCCACTACACCTTGGAACTAAGCAGAGTTTCCCTTCAATACCTGGAATTAAAGTGACTCTGGATTGCTGGTACCCCTAGCTGCTTGCCACATGCAAACAACTTCTACACAGGACTTATATCAGCATCCTAGGCTTCCAAATAATTCTACCATTTTTGATATATAACATCTGACAATCAAAAATAACCAGGTATATAAAGAGATATAGTGACACGACTAAAATAAGAAGACAGAAAAATTTTAAAAACCTACAGGGAGGGGCGCCTGGGTGGCTCAGTGGGTTAAAGCCTCTGCCTTCGGCTCAGGTCATGATCCCAGGATCCTGGGATCGAGCCCCACATCAGGCTCTCTGCTCAGCGGGGAGTCTGCTTCCTCCTCTCTCTCTGCCTGCCTCTCTGTCTACTTGTGATCTCTATCTGTCAAATAAATAAATAGAATCTTAAAAAAAAAAAAAAAAACCTACAGGGATTCCAAACAATGAAGATCTAGACTCTAAAATATTCAAGATAAAATCCTTGATATGTTTAAGAAGATAAAAAGCAAGATTAAGAATAGTAGCAGAGGGCACCTGGGTGGCTCAGTGGGTTGGGCCTCTGCCTTTGGCTCGGGTCATGGTCTTGGGGTCCTGGGATCGGGCCCTGCGGTGGGCTCTCTGCTCGGCAGGGAGCCTGCCTCCCCCTCCCCCTCTGCCTGCCTTTCTGCCTACTTGTGATGTCTCTCTCTCTGTCAAATAAATTAAAAAAAAAAAAAAAGAATAGCAGCAGAAAACAAGAATCCATAAAAAAGAATCAAACAGAAATTCAACAACTGAAAAATTTAGTTACGAAGTTGAGAAATCTGACAGATGAGCTTAACAGTAGATTTTGCCAAAGACAGAAGTAATAATCTGAAAGGTCACAAAAAAAGAGCAGAACAAAGCACCCAGGAAAAAAAGTGTTTCTAACAACATGTGATTGGATTCTCTTCTGAGAATGGAGAAAAATATGGGCAGAAGTAATCATTTAAAGAGTGAACAGGGGCGCCTGGCTGGCTCAGTCAGAAGGGCAGGCGACTCTTGATCTTGGGGTCATGAGCTCGAGCACCATGCTGGGTATAGAGGTGCATGATAAGTGTTTTAAACTTTTAAAAATAAATAAATAAATAAAAGAGAGAATAGCTGAGAATCTTCCAAAAGTGACAAAGGGTATCAAACTACTGATTCAAGGGAAATTGTGAATCCCTAACAGGATAAATACAAAGCAAACTACACCAAGCATATTGCAGTAAAAATTCTGAAAATCAACTACAGGGAAAATCTCAAAGGAGCTGGAGAAAAAGAGATTACCTTCAAAGAAACTACAATAATACAGGAACAACTGACTTCACAGAAATCATGGGAACAAGAAGACAACGGAATGGATTTATTTAACTAAACTGCCAGTTCCAAATTCTACACCCAGCATACATAGCCTTCAAAAATGAAGGTGAAATAAAGACATTTTCAGACAAACAAAACTAAAATTCATCATCAGCAGACTAGTATTAAACTTTAAGTCAGGGTTGGGGCGCCTGGGTGGCTCAGTGGGTTAAGCCTCTGCCTTTGGCTCAGGTCATGGTCCCAGGGTCCTGGGATCGAGCCCCGCATCAGGCTTTCTGCTCAGTGGGGAGCCTGCTTCCCCCTCTCTCTGCCTGCCTCTCTGCCTACTTGTGCTCTCTGTCAAATAAGTAAATAAAATCTTAAAAAAAAAAAAAAAAAAAAAACTTTAAGTCAGGGCACTTGGGTGGCTCAGTTAATTAAATATCTGACTTTGACTCAGGTCATGATCCCAGGATCTTTGGATCTGGCCCTGCCTCAGGCTCCCCACTCAGTAGGAAGTCTGCTTTTCCCTCTCCCTCTTCCCCTGCTTGTGCTCTCTTTCTCTCTCTCAAGTAAATAAATAAAATCTTAATAAAATATGTATATATGTTCTCTAAGTCAAAGGAAAATTATCCCCAACAGAAGCTTGGACATAAAAATTTAAAGAGCAATAAAATGGGTAAATATATTAGTAAATCTAGATAAATATTAGCTTTGTTGTGGTATGACAGTTTTTTTTTTTTTAAGTTATCTTGTAGAGACACACACTGAAATAATTATGAATAAAATTAGATCTGGGGGCGCCTGGGTGGCTCAGTGGGTTGAAGCCTCTGCCTTCGGCTCAAGATCATGATCCCAGGGTCCTGGGATCAAGCTCCACATCGGGCTCTCTGCTCAGTGGGGAGCCTGCTTCCTCCTCTCTCTCTGCCTGCTTCTCTGCCTGCTTGTGATCTCTGTCAAATAAATAAATAAAATCTTTAAAATAAGAACTGTAATTTGCTTTAAAATAATGAAAGAAGAGGGTGCCTGGGTGGCACACGTTGCTAAGCATCTGCTTTCAGCTCAGGTCATGACCCCAGGATCCTGGGATCGAGTCCCGCCTCAGGCTGCCTACTCAGGGGAGGCCTGCTTCTCCCTCTCTCATTCCCCTGCTTGTGTTCCCTCTCTTGCTGTCTCTCTGTCAAATAAATAAAAATATTTAAAAAGATAAATAATAATAATAAGATAAGTAAACAGAAATGTGAATGGGATAGGATTGGTCATGGACTGATAGCTGTTATGGCTGGAATGACCAGTGCCTACAGGTTTCATATATGCTCAAACGTCTCCCTAATTATTATTAATAACAGTAATAATAATGACAATATCACCTTATGGTTTTACAAAAAAGTGGTTTAACATATGTACAAACATACAGACACATATACATACATACATGCATATATAATTAAAATGTATGATGCTAATAGTACAAAAGCCTGGAGATGAAGCTAAGGGTTTCTACCAATTAGATTTTGGGAAATCAAAGATTCACATGGTAATCTTTAACCATCAAGAGAAAAGACAAAGCATTTAAACTCCTGAGCTAAAAAAGGGGAGAAATGAAATATTTACAAAATAATTTAAGATTTTTATTTATTTATTTAGAGAGCATGTGTGAGCAGGGGGAGGGGCAGAGGGAGAGGAAGAAAGAATCTCGAGCAGACTCTGTGCTGAGGACGGAGTCTGACATGGGGCTCATTCTCAAGACCTTGAGATCATGACCTGAGACGAAATCAAGAGCTAGACGCTTAACCAGATGAGCCACCCAGGTGCTCCTAATTACAAAATAATTTAAAAGAAAACAAGAAAGAAAAGAGATCATAGGAAGGAGGAGAGGGGGAAAAAAAGACAAGAACACAAAATAGAAAGAAATAATAGAAAGAAAATAATAGAAATAGAAAGGAAATAATAAGATCGTGGATGAAAATCCAAATATATCTGTATGTACATTATAGTTAAATAAACTAAATGCTCTAAAACTGAACTACAACAGTTGTCTCGCTGGATGAATAGAACCGATAACCATTTAGCTATTTAGTTTAATAAAAAAAAAAAAGACTGATATTGCTAAAATCAGAAATGAAAGTAGGTCATTATTACCAATTATATCAAAATTTTAAAAAAAGGATTATAAGCGGGGCGCCTGGGTGGCTCAGTGGATTAAGCCTCTGCCTTTGGCTCAGGTCATGATCCCAGGGTCCTGGGATAGAGCCCCGCATCTGGCTCTCTGCTCAGCAGGGAGCCTGCTTCCCTTCCTTTCTCTCTGCCTGCCTCTCTGCCTACTTGTGATCTCTGTCAAATAAATAAATAAAATCTTAAAAAAAAAAAAGGATTATAAGAAAGTACTATAGGCAACTGTATGGCAAAAAACTGGATAACCTAGATGAAATGGCCAAATTCCTAGAAACACAAAATCTAAAGACTACACCATGCAGGGGTGCCTGGGTGGCTCAGTCTGCTGGATGTCCAACTCTTGGTTTCAGCTCAGGTTGTAATTTTGGGGTTATAAGAGGGAGCCTGTGTTGGGCTCTGTGCTGGGCACGGAGCCTGCTTAGGATTCTCTCTCCCTCTTCCCCTCCTCCCCAACTTGTATGCACATGAGCACGCCCCTCTTGCTCTTAAAAAAAAAAAAAAAAAAAAAAAAAACAAGGGGTGCCTGGGTAGCTCAGTGGGTTAAAGCCTCTGCCTTCAGGTCAGGTCATGATCCCGGGGTCCTGGGATGAAGCCTCACATCGGGCTCTCCTCTCAGCGGGGAGCCTACTTCCCTTCCTCTCTCTTCCTGCCTCTCTGCCTACTTGTGATCTCTCTCTGTCCAATAAATAAATAAAATCTTTAAAACAAACAAACAAAACTAAACTCTTACAATAAAACTTAAAACTATAGAAATCAAAATAGTGTGGTACTGGCATAAAGACAGACATAGACAAATGAAATACCATACAGACATAAACCTTTGCATATATGATCAAATGGTTTTCGACAAGGGTGAAAAGAACCTTCAACAATGAAAAGATAGTCTTTTCAACAGATGGTGCTGGGAAAACTGAATATCCACATACAGAAAATGAAGCTGGGCCCTTACCTCACACCATATGCAAAAATTGACTCAAATGGATCCATGACCTAACTCTAAGACCAAAAATTACAAAACTCTTAAGACAAAAACACAGGACAAAAGCTTCATGGCATTCGATTTGGCAATAATTTCTTACATATGACACCAAAGGCACAGATGATAAATTAAAAAAATAGACAAACTGGACTTCATGAAAATTTAAAATTGCATCAAAAGATACTATAAACAAAATAAAAAGGCACCCAACAATATGGGAGGAAATATTTGCAAATCACATATTTGATAAGGAATTAATATCCAGAGTATATAAAAAACTCCTATAACTCAACAATAAAACAACCTGATTCAAAGATCGGAAAGAAGTTGAACAGACATTTCTCCAAAGATATGCAAATGGCCAAAAAGTACATGAAGGGATGTTCACAACATCACTAGCCATTAGGGAAATGCAAAATTACAATGAGAGACCACAGTATACCTATCAGGTTGGCTATGAATGAAAAACAAAACAAAACCCAAAAAACAACAAGTGGTGATGAAAAGGTAGAGAAACTGGAACCTCTATGCGCCACCGGTGGCAATGTAAAACGGTGCAGCCATTGTGGAAAGCAGGATGGCAGTTCCTCCAAAAATTAAACATAGGTCAACCATATTTCACTTTAAAAAAATTAAATAGAACTACCATTTTCTCCAGCAATTCCACTTCTGGGTATATACTTAAAAGACATGAATAAAAGACATGAAAGTAGTGTCTCAAAGATATCTGTACACCCATATTAAGCAGCATTAGTCACAAAAGCTAAAACTGGAAGCAACCCAACTGTCCACTGATGGATGGATAAGCAAAATACAGTATATACATACAATGTACATCCAGCCTTAAAAAGGAAAGAATTCTGATATATGCTGCAATATGAATGAAGCTTAGGGTCATATGCTAAGTAAAATAAGCCAGTCACAAAGTGACAAATACCAAATGAGTGCATGGATATGAGGTACTTAAAGATAAAACTGTCCTGGGATAGTCTTGCTACTATGAGTGACTAGGGATCAAGAACAAAGTACTCTTGATGTCGCTTGGGGAGAGCCAATGTGTCTTCCGTCTGAGACGGGGAAAGAGGCTAAGATAAAACATCAGTAACTGCTGGCTCCGGGACTCACCACCTCTGGTAACCACAAACAATGTGCCTGAACAAAGCTTGTCTTGGAAAAGTATTATCGAGGCCCTTCTGACTCAGGAAAGCTTCGTCCCAAGAAGGCACTCCGGTGTGGAGCTCGGCAAGCCCCCAGGCCTCCGCGCGCCTCCTGGTGGTCCGGCACGGGCCCCGGGCCGCCCAGCGCTGCTCACCAGTGTTGCGGATGATATAGTCCAGCACCACCAGCCTCTCGAACTGCAGTAGCAGCTGCCGGTTAGTGTTCTCCGGGAGGGGCTCTGCTTCGAAACGCCGGAGCCAGTAGTCCGCATCTTTGTAGCCTTCAACAAAGAGCTGGAATGAACCAACCTGCAGCCAAAGAGGAGGAATAAAGGTATCTCCCCACTGTTCAAGTCCAGAGAGCCCACGAGTAAGCCGTGGTGGCCCATAATGCCCTGTGGCGTTTATATCAGAAAAAGGTCATGGGATTCCCCATACAGATTCAAGAAGCCCACCTAAATGGGCCAGAGGAGTAAAGTGGGAAAGTGAGGGGCTCTGTTCTCTGGAGAATTATTCCCCAAACCTTAGGCCCTCAGACATATTCATGTCTACAGGCAAGTCTCTAGGTGCCTTGTTTCGCCACTGGGGTAGTCACACCACACACATCATCACCTTGCCTAAGCCACACAGGTGCTGGTATACCTTTGGTGGCAGCCCGATGCGATTGAACCGCTGCCCGACTTTTGGCACTTTCTCTAGCGCAAGCCGCTTGCCCCTGGACTTCACTCGGTCAATGGCACTATAGTTGAAGGTATCGCTGGCCAGGTACACTACCTAGAGTGGAAAGAGAACAGATACCTAGGTTACAGTTGAGTATGAGGAACCATACCACGACCGCACGGACTAGCTGGACACTCACCAACACTGATCCTCTTCCAGTGGATGCATAAGGAATGCACTCCTTGGCCTTCCTAATATGAATAGTTCAGGCCAATGCAATGTTGACAAAGCGATGCATGTCTATCAGTTCCGGGGCTGGCCCCTAAAATCTCCCATTATCCTTAGTTTACATTCCCCAGTCTGTGTAGCTGGAAATGAAGGGCTCTGAGATGGCAAAACCACATCATGGAAAGATCTTACATTTCTTGTCACTACATAGAGGGAGTGACAAGGGATCAGGGAGAGCTACCTGACTGGCACGAATCTAGGATGTGAGCAAAATCCATTAAACCACCGAGATTCAGGAGTTGTTACAGCAGCTAGCATGAGTTCCCCTGACTAATAAAGCCATCTCCTAGGTTGGGAGAAGAGGGCCCAATGCCTATTTTCTCTCCAGGTAAAAACAAATTGCAATGTACTCTATACCTTTTTATTTCTTTTGAATTCTGCACTATGTGCAATTTGTTCACATTTTTAAAAATATTTATTTATTTGACAGAGAGAGAGAGACAGCAAGAGCAGGAACACAAGCAGGGGTAGTAGAAGATGGTGAAGCAGGCTTCCCGCTGAGCAGGCAGCCTGATGTGGGTCTTGATCGCCAGACCCTGGGATCATGACCCGAGCCGAAGACAGACACTTAATGACCAAGCCACCCAGGTGGCCCAATTTATTCACATTTTAAAAATAAACATTAAACATTAAAAGATAAACATTAAAATGGGTTTTAATCTTTACTGAATTGCCATATATATATATATATATATATATATATATTTACTGAATATGCTATATATATACTGAATTGCTATATATATAAAATATATATTGTCTGCATAGATTATATATGTATATAGCAATATATATCAATATTATACATATTATATTATATATTGTATACATTATATATAATATATATTGTCTGCATAGATTATATATATGTATATAGCAATATACATATAGATTACATATATATATAATATCTGTGCAGACTATATCTGGAATATTACATAAGAAACTTGTACTGGAAGCTGCCTCTGAGGAAGGAAATGGAGTGGCTGGAAGGCAGAGGTGGGAGAGAGGCTGAATTGCTCTTCTCCGTTTACCCTATTGTGCCTTCTTTTTTTTTTTTTTTTTTTTTTCTATTGTGCCTTCTGATCTCCACACCAGATGCATGCATTGCCTACTCAAAAAAACATTTTTTTTAAGGATTTATTTTTTTGAGAGAGAGAGTAAGCATGAGCAGGTTAGAGGGGCAGAGGGAGAAGCAGAAGAAGTGGAAACAGGCTCCCAGCTCCCTGCCCAGGACCCCAGGATCACGACCTGAGCCAAAGGCAGATGGCTTTTGGGTGGCTCAGTCGTTAAGCATCTGCCTTCGGCTCAGGTCATGATCCCAGGGTCCTGGGATCGAGTCCCGGTTTGGGCTCCCTGCTTGGAGGGAAGCCTGCTTCTCCCTCTCCCACTCTCCCTGCTTGTGTTCTCTCTTGCGCTGTGTCTCTCTCTGTCAAATAAATAAAATCTTTTAAAAAAAATTATTACACTTGATTGTCAAATTGTAGTGATATCACTGTAATCCGTAGATATATCCATTATCACCCTTATCACACCGTCTTGTGATTATCCGTTTGTACATCTAACCTCTCTCTCTCTCTTTTTAAGATTTTATCCATTTATTTGACAGATAGAGATCACAAGTAGGCAGAAAGAGAGGAGGAAGGAAGCAGGCTCCCCGCTGAGCAGAGAGCCTGATGCGGGGCTCGATCCCAGGCCCCTGGGAACACAACCCAAGCTGAAGGCAGAGGCTTTAACCCACTGAGCCACCCAAGCACCCCTGTAACCTCTCTCTTAAGACTAAAGAGATCTGGGGAAAAAGAGAACATCTTACTTTATGCATATTACCAGCCTCAATATCTAACATAGTGCCTGGCACATGCTCATTAAATATTTATTAAGTGAATGCATGAATGAGTTACAAGCTTCTCTCAGAGACAGCAACAAGTGAGCACATAAATAACTAAAATCAGATTTAAAAGAAAATTCTTTTTTAAGCCTTGCAAAGTTCATTACAAATAACTAATTATTGTGCCTATAACTCAGAAAGAGGGACAGAATCATTCCCTCCCTCCTCTCCGTTCATCTGTCCATCCAAAGTTAATGCAAGTGTCTACAATGGATGTGCTAGGTATAGTAGGATGGCACTCTGTGCCCAGGAAACACATGCACAGGAATTAAGGAGAAAAAAGGCTTTCCTAAGAATATCTTGCCAGTTTCCATAGTGAAAACCCTCACTCTCTCAAGCAATAAACCACCCATTCCCCCCCACCCAGATTTATTTTCAATCACTCTCTGTAACAACCCGCTTTTTTCTCTATGACTAATGAAACTAACATACCCCGAAACCTCACAGGAACAGAGAGCAGAAACAAGCTATCGAGTGAGACCTGGAGCCTTACTATTTGAAGCTCCATCATAACATGAGCCCTGTTCCCAGTGACAGCTGCTCTCATCAACTGGACAGACTCCTGTCACAAAGGTGGGGAGGTTGGGAGGGGAGAGAGTTCTCTCACTATTCTCTAGCAGCTATAGGTTAAACTTGCAAGGTTCTGTCTCAGCTCAGTCTCATGGAAGATGAATATTTTGTTGTTGCTTTGATGCAAAAGATCCTCAAGCCACATTAAGATTCTCTAACAGGGAAAGAGGAAGAGCAGAGATGGGGAAGAACAGGATCCTGGCAGGTGACATTCTGTTATGATAAGAATGGTCATAAAAGTACCACAGGCTAAGACATGGAGCATTTGCATTGTGCAAAGGCACCAGGCAACGTGTTTTACATGGATTATCCTGTGTAATCTTAATAGCCACCCCATAAAGTAGGAACTATTTATAACCCTATTTTTATAGTGAGGAACCGAGCAGGCAAAGCGTGTGAGGCTGTCTTAAGTGATTTGCCAAGGGTCACTCAATAAAGAGCTGCAGAGCCAGAATTTGGACTCCAGCCCTCATTCCTAGGCACTCTACTCCAGAAGCACAGGCAGGACGGCACAAGGCCCTGTGCGGACTGCTACTTACCTAGTAAAGAAAGGCAATTACAGCAATGAGCACAAGTATTTAAAAGAATGTTTAGAGTCTAGGAAGGGCCTAGTAGGAGGAATTCAGGTTAGGCAGGAGATCTTTGGAGCATTAATTATCATGCAAGACATTCAAGTATGCTATTTAACTCTGTGTACAGACAGAACGAAAGCATAAAGGGAAGAATGAGCTTTGTATAAGGCCAGATGACAGTGGGAGCTATAAGCAAACACTCTCCCAATAGATTTGAGTTGGAGGATCTCTAGGATTGTCCCTCATGGTTTGATATTCACTCAGTCATTCAGCTGGCACTTCCGGAATAGTTACTATAAAAACAGTACTCTGCTTGGGGCGCCTGGGTGGGTCAGTCGGTTTAGTGTCCGACTCTTGATTTTGGCTCAGGTCATGATCTCAGGATTGTGGGATTGCACTGAGCATGGAACCTGCCTGAGATTCTCTCTCTCCCTCTGCTTCCCAAACCCACCCCACCCTCCGTCTCACATGCATACTCTTTCTCTCAAAACAAACAAACAAACAAAAAACCACAGTACTTTGCTAGGTGCTGAGAATAAAAAGAAATTTCAAGAAATGATCCCTGACCTTTACGAACTTACAAACCAGCTGGCTTATTGTTTGGAGTTTGGCAATAAAAGAGCAGACAGTTAAACAACCAAAACAATCACAATTTCTTCTAAAATACCCTGGGAAAACAGAAAAAAGAGGTTTGAAGGGAAGATCCTGTCTGCTGACCCATCTCTTTGGCCAGAGTCTACTATCTAAACCTGCAAAGAAAACCTCAAGCAGGGGTCTTTAGTCTATTGGCATGGTCTCTACAAGGCCAAGGAATGGACTCCAACAGGTCCATGAACCATCCCCGTGAAACTACATGCAAAACAACAATTACAAATATATGAATTTTTTCTGGGAGTGAGATCTCCAGCCTTCATCAAATTCTCAGAGGATTAAAGCCCATAGCTACAAAGATGCCCCTGCAGCCTTAGGGAGGCAGATAGAGCTTCACTTTAAGTTTTTACTAAACCTTAGGTAGCCACACATACTAAATGGGTGATGATGTGTCCTTGAATGTTCATATGCTGACCAGCAGGCATTCCTTCCCCTCACAACCCTTGGAAAGTTCCGCTGACACCCTGTAGTATAGGGGCTCGTCACCTGGCATCAGTAAACTTCCTGAAAATGTATGCAATCAATTCTGTTATTTCAGCATACTGGGGGCGGTGGTAGGGATTGGAACCTAAGCTAAGTCTATCATACATATAAGGTGTGTGCAAATTCATTCTAAGTGTGGATTTACCTGGATCTGGGACCCCAATTTTGTTATGTTCAGGTAAGTACCAGTCTCCCATAGCATAAAGATTGATGAGAATTCCAGGTCAGTTCTCTGTACATGTCCAAACCAGACCTTTACTTTAACCCTCAGCCCACCCTAGAATCCTTCCTGCCAGACTTTACTTTAGTGACTAGCTAACATCAGTTAGTCCATTTTAGAACATATCTAAATCAAGGAATAGCTTGGAAATCTAAGACAATGAGCTACAAAAGTAGCCAGATTTCTAACCAGCTTGCAGTTTACCTGGGACCAAAAGACTTGGAAAACCCATAAATGTGCACCAGAGGGTCAGTGAATTTCCTGAAATTGTATGCAAAACTTTTACGTGTATCCTTCTCAGGATAGCTTCCATCAGATGATCAAATCATGAGCCTAAACCTACCACCTTCCCTCCAAAAAGGCTGAGAGCTCTAGATTCAGGGCATACATAGTCCTCCTTGGACCTAATAGCTTGGTTAACATATAGCAGGACTTAGGCCCAGGAAAACTCTGGATAGGGACCAAGGCTCCCTGGAGACAGGTCACTGACCTTTGTACGGGGTACAATGTTGAGTTCCAGTTTTTGGTCCACCAGACTGGCCCCTGCCTCTGAGAGATAGCCCTGGTTGAGGACAAGGCAGTCACGGCCAAAGCAGCAGGGACAGCATAGCTTCTGCAGCCATTTGGTCCACTTAGGATTAAGGTGCCCATATGGCTCTTCATTCTTGGGTTTGAAGACGGCAATGATCTTCTACAGAGAGAAAAGAAAAATAGGATGTTAAAGGCAAATTAATTAAAGTGGGTCACAGACCAGGTCAGCAGGACTCTAGAAAGAAACGAGAAGGCATAGGAAGACAATCCTTAAAGACAGACACTGGCTTCTCCCCAGCTTGTAAGGGGAAGACACGGCTCATGTGTGCAGCTAACAGTCCCACTGCCAGAAAGGGCTGTAGTCACAGAAGATGCCACGCCTAGTATACATGGTAAAACAGACTTTAACACCATCAAACCCCAACTTCCAAGGTGAAGTCATACAAACTTGTTCTGCATCAATTAGGTAAAGGCTCAAAAAAGTATCAACTGAAAGGAAATTAGTAAGGTATTATGGAATGAGGTTAACTCCATCAGTGCTTGATTTCCTCTATCAGCCTTACTATCCCACTCCCTGGGTGTTAACAAAATCTTAAAATAAAAAGTTTAGGAATGACAAACTAAGAAAGCAATGGAAGGGAAAACTCACAGCAGGAAAAAGAATCTGCCACCTGATTAGAATCGGGTTCTTTTAAGTAGCTCTGATAGGCAAGAAATTAGGACATGAGAGGCCACAAAGACTAAAACCCATCTTCTCTTGCGGGTGAGAACTTAACCCTCAGAGGTCCTTAGAAATCCGGGATGCTGCTGCAACCCTGAAACAATGGGCCTCCCTTCTGGAATCTTCTTCCCCAGGCCAGGCAGCCCTCCATGGTTATTTCACATCTGTCTCATTCCCTCTAGTCCCCAAACTGGTACTTTCAAAGGAAGAAAAGCAAATATGCTATCCAAGTGATTCATCTTTGTATCATATGACTCTCCCTCTCTCTCACTCTACAGCCAACTCAAGCTAGTCTGGGTCATAAGACATTTTCCTGTGGGTGTCACTTCCTGACAGGCAGGTCACAGCAGAAAACATACGCCCATCTGCCTGCATTAAGTATGTGCTCATATTAGGAACTGGCTAGATGCATGTCTCCAAAAAGAACTGGTCCTTCTTGAGGCTAGTTCAAGAAGTCTTACAAGAATCTGAGCGGACAAGAAAAATACAGAACTCTCCTCCCTCCAAAGGAATCAATTTATTTTAAACACAACCTTACTGATTCACTGGGAAAAGTCAAGTGCATAAATTCATAACCTAGGTCTTCAGAATTACCTTTTTATCCAAAATGTCTAGCAAAAGGCCCAAGTTAGCAATCTTTCTGTCTCTGCCCCAGGAACCCTGCACTCCAAACCACACAGCAGCAGTAACAAGGGGTTCCTGTCACTCAGAGAAGGACCGATGAGTCCATGATAATGCTCTAGAACTAGACAATAAAACCACGGACAGCTTGAGGCCCATGTCACAACTCGAGTCAGTTCAACTGAGGTACAACGTGGAGTTCGGCAGGCCGGTTCCCAGCGGGAGGAAGACCAAGACAACCCTATTACCGAGGCTGAAAGACACTAGGACCGAGGCTTAAATACCCCCATTAAAGAAAGCAGAACCTGGAAGCCAAGATCACAGCCAAAGCCTCATTTACAGACTCACCTCTCAAACTTCGCCATTTCCCTCTGACAGGAGAATTGGAAAGCATCCTGAGGACTCTGAAAGCATTAGTGATCATCACTACCTCAATATCACACAGGGTTCATTAAATAATAACGTCTGGACTGGACAAATGGAGGGACAGTAGCGTGAGAAGGCTGGAGGAACAGAAAGATATTAGGCAGAAAGGGAGACAAGTGCCCTTTGGGACTAAGCATGGCCTTCAGTTCAATTCAGTTCTGCTAACGTACTCAGTACATCATTTGTGTAAGACAGTACGTGAGCACTGCAGGTTTGCTAGCTGATACAAGACACAGCCTCAGGCCTAATTTCCAAAGCTAATATGAACTTCACATTTTCAGCTGTGTTCCTGAATACTTAAGAATATTCTAGAACCAGTCGAATCAGAAAGGCACCCCACCATTATTTGGTTGAGAAAGAAAATGTCTACTGCCTGATTTTTCTCACTCTCCTCTCTCTTCTTTACTATACTTTCAATTCCTTTCTTACATTTAGTTTGGAGTAAGCTTCTGTTTGATGCCAATATTTTTCGAACAACTTTCCTTACCACCCACTGACTAACCCTCCTTTAATGAAGGGGCTGAGGTACAGGGAGCTTAAGCAGCAGCAGCAATGGAGCTGGGGATCCAAAGAGAACTGCACAGGAATCAAGAGGCCACTTACTCACTGGCAGGGGTCAGAACCCACAACCAAATTCTGGGACGGGAAAGACAAAGGGTTTCTCTATCTAGCAGCTCCAAGGAGGAGGGCATTATGCAAGGCTAAAATTTAAGATAGTTCAAGCACATCACTCATACAGGGAAATACCCAGGAATAACTTCTAATAAAAGTTTTTTCTTTTTAATTTGGTAAACGTGAAGCTGATGATTCTCTAACATTTTGGTCTGAAGATTCCTTTAAACTCTTAATTATTAAAGATCTACAAAACTTTTGTTTATGTGGGTAAAACCTACATCTGCCGTATTACAAATTAAAACTGAAATGTTAAGACTGTTAATTCACTTAATAAAAATAAACCTAATATATGTTAATACAGATGTTATGTTTTTATGAAAAATAACCATTTTTGGGGAGGGTATGTGCTATGGTGAGTGCTGTGAAGTGTGTAAACCTGGCGATTCACAGACCTGTACCCCTGGGGCTAATAATACATTATATGTTTATAAAAAAATAAAAAAATATATTAAAAAAAAGAAAAATAACCATTTTTCAAAAACAATTTTTAATGAAAAGGCAGGCACTGTTTTCTAATTTTGCAAATCTCTCCAGTGTCTGGCTTAATAAAAGGCAACTGTATTTTCACATCTTCCTTAATATTCAATCTGTTTCAATATCACATAACAAGTAGCCTCTGGAAATCGCTACTACGCACTCATAAGGAAGTGAGAATGAAAATGGCAGGCAGTCTTAAATGGTTAGAAAAATAACTTTGACTGTGCACCCCTAAAAGGACTCCTACAGGTCCTTCAGCCTCACTCTGAGAACTCCTATATTCTGTATTAGCAGTTGGATAGAAACAGCACTCCTATTTAGGCAAAGAAGCCTTACTTACATGTTAACTCTTAGAAAAGAGAGGGATGGGTTACTCCAAATATAGCAGACCCTGAAAGAAGATGGAATCCAAATAAAATCCAAATAAAACACAAGAGATTTAGCCTGTATTTATTTTCCTATCCACTGTCAGTAACCCAACCTGTCTCACCCGTAACAACTGGTGGTCTAGGACAGGTCCCTAAAATAGGCGGTAATGATGTTTAAAAACCTCAAGAACTACATCTAAATATGACATACAAACTTGACTACCTCTTAACAATTTAGTAAAAAAAAAAAAAAAAAAAAGTTATTCTTGGGGTGCCTCGCTGACTCAGTCAGTTAAGCATCTGCCTTCAGCTCAGGTCGTGATCTCAGGGTCCCGGTAATTGAGCCCCAAGTCCGGCTCTCTGCTCCATGGGGAGTATGCATTTCCCTTTCCCTCTGTGCTTGCACGTGTTCTCGCACTCTCTCTCAAATAAATTAATAAGAATTAAGAGAATTATTCTCTTTGCGATCTTTATTCTTCATTGGGCTATCAGCGTTGCTCTCAACCATGTGTAAGGACATCAGAATTTCTTTGGAGGGCACAGGTAGTTGAAAGAAGTACACTCAGTATTACATACTAACACAATTTTATATTTGAAAAATGAAAAAAAAAAAACCTGTACAATTTTCATGACAAGCTCTTGATGGATAAGTATTTTTAAAAGACTGCAAATTACTGATATAAGTCCTAGTTCCTAAAACATATAAGCAGTATCTGTAAAATTATGAGGCAGATACCAATTAGCATTATCTATTAAATTACTATTCTCAGAGTTCATAAAATCATCATATCGAAATTATACTACTTTTGCTTTATTCAGTGCCATGTATCCAAGAAAGCCTAATCCAGAGGTCAGTGGGCCTTAACCTAACAAAAACCAAAACACTCTGAGTTCCTGCTAAGCACCAGGAACTATGCCAAGGGGCTTTCATGTGTGATATTGCATTTAATCTTCTTAACCAATTAATGAATCACATGCTATTCTATGATTCTTGGCAATATGAACATATAGTATTACTAGCCTCACAAAATAGAAAATGCTCAAAAAATATTTTCATAGGTGATTGAGCATAAGACCAGAAAGCACAAGAATGCAAGTGAGGAGGGTAATATGAGCACTCTCTACCATGCCTTCTGATCTAGCATTTTCCATCTTACTTGTCTCTAGGTCCCCACTTGCTTGCCCTGAGGGAGAAACCATCCTAAATTGGAAAATGAAATCAGGGCTATTATCTTCAAGAACCTTCCATCATCCTCTTTAGCTCCAAAAGCAGCTCTGGTAGAATCTGCTGGATCCCCCAATCTCTGTTCCTTCTTCTTCCTTGGACGTGGGACTCCGCATTTTTAGTGAGGCAAAATAAAGACTACAGTTCCCAACCACTACTGCCGTTAAATTCTGGACAACAGAATATAAAAACAGTCTGTTGAGACTTCTAGGAAATATCTTCAAGGAAGAGGGCATACTCTTCCTCTCTTTTCCTTCATCCAACTGGCTGAAAAACAGATAAGATGTCTGCAGTCTGAGCAGCCATCTTGGATCATGAAGTGGAACCCACATGCTAGGGATGGCTCATCAGCTGGATGGAAGGATACACACTGTTCATATTGTCATGCCAGCCCTAGGCAGCCTAGAGAGTTCATCTATGAGAGTTAAATGTACCTTTATTCGAGTCATTATTATTTTAAATTTTCTGCCAAAGAGCCAAATATAATCTTAACCAATATGGGAGATGAAAAGAGGAAGTAGAAATTCAGATGACTAACTTTAAGGCAGCACTGCATAGTGCTTAGGAGCATGAATTCTGGAGCCAGTTGGCCTAGGTCTGAATCCTGCCTCCTACTTACTAGCTGTTAAGACCCTAAGCATATTAGTTACACTGTGTGCCCTGATGTCAACATTATTGTCATCATCTGTGGGGATAATAACAGTACCTACCTCCAAGGGTATTGCTCTAAGTGCTAAGTGAATTATTATTCGTAAAGCACTTAAAACATTACATAGCATATAGTAAGTGCTATCTATGCATTTATTAAATAAAATAAACAAACACATTTGGAGCAGGGCTAAAGATGACACAACCAACCACAGGGGATCTGTGGTTCATTGAAACTCACCACAGCATTTAGGAAGTGGTCCTCTGCTCTGAACCACATTTTCTTCAATGTGAGCAAGATGGTTAGATTAGTAAGTTTTGTCAGGGCATATGTGTTTTGACTTCCTCTCTAAGAAAGGTCAGTGGCCAGGAAATTTTAGACCCTGGGGTCCTACAAATCACCAAGAAACATACCCATAGTCTGTCATTCTCTGTAGCCTATGCACAGAGGTGGTAGTGCTTTACCTGCCAGGTAGAAGTGACAGATCTTATTACTCCCACCTGCCAGAGCACCAGATCACTTCTCAGCTGACCTGACACACTTCCAACAAAGCTGTAATAGTGTCATGAAAGAAAAATAAAAACCTTCCTCCTGTTCCTATACCTATTAAAGATAATTAGCTCCTTCTTACATCAGCCAACAAGATAAAAAAAAAGGAAAATAAAATAAAAAATAAAAAACACTTACATAAAAAACAAAAGTATATTGCTAACATTTAGGCCTCAGGATACCCACTCTCCTTTTCTTCTAGAAGTAATGGTTCCCCTTTGAGCTTTCAATTTAACTCACTGCTCCCTTACTTGACGGACTTGGAAAGACCTCTTATTCTCAAAGTTTTCCCCAACTTCCCCAATTCAGTTTATGTTAACTGCATTGATGGCAGAATTGCCTTCTGGTTCTTGATAATTCAGGGACAACAACATCTGGGAGAATGACCAGATCATTCAATGAACCCAACCAAGGGCTACAAGTCAGAGTCCATCCTGGCCACTCAGCATTCCTACAAGAACAGCACACTAGGGGACGCCTGGGTGGCTCAGTGGGTTAAAGCCTCTGCCTTCAGCTCAGGTCATGATCCCAGGGTCCTGGGATCGAGCCCCGAATCCAGCTCTCTGCTCAGCGGGGAACCTGCTTCTCCCTCTCTCTCTGCCTGCCTCTCTGCCTCCTTGTGATCTCTGTCAAATAAATAAAAAAAATCTTAAAAAAAAAAAAAAAAAAAGAGCAGCACACCACCCATCTAAAGAGTTCAGACGGGAGAGACGCAGTGAAAATTTGTAGGATTTGACAATCATTATTTTAATAAGTATAACAATAGTGTATTTTTCCAATAAACCATTCCAGCCCATCTGAGAACTCTAACAGGAAAAACATGGTTTGACCTACTGATATTCCAATGATACCTCTGGTTTGATATAAATGCCTTAAATTCTTCTGCAGCTATCAAAAGAATAAAGTCACCTCTCAGCTGCCCTGGTCACCCCATGTCCCTTCCCAACCCAATAATCCCCATCCCCCTTTATACACATGCAAGGGACAAAATAAAGGTCAGCAAACACTTTGCCTTAGCTAAAAAGCAAACTGCTGATAGTCCTGGGAGAGAAATAAAAGTAAAATGTAGCAGGCAGTCCTGTGTTTCTAAAACTCCGCATTCTTTACTGAAGAACGATAAAAAAGAATTTGAACAATTTCCCAGAAGTGAGCAATAACCAGGACAGATGAAACTGGTTTAAGTCCACCCACTCCATCACTGACGTCTGCCAGTAAGAGCCCTGGGACGGTGGTAGATCCCCACAACACAGAAGGCTGGAACTGAACCCTCAGATCCCTTGATCGATCACCCGTCCTCCAGTGAACAGCGACAACGCTGGTTCGGTCCAAAAAGAGAAAATGGGCCCAAAGCTCAAATCTGTAGGACAATGGCCGAAAAGCAGTCTCCGTAGTTTAAAGCTAAGGAACCTACTAGAAGGCAGCATCTCCCCGCGCGTCTCTGTCGACAGGCCGATTGCCCCACCACACCGCCGGGCCCCTCGCCTGTATCTGGTCAATTTCCTCTTTTCATTCTCCGCTCACTCCTCCCCCACCAAATAGGTTCTGATTTATTTCTTCAGTCCGCAGAGCTTCTCCATCTCCAGTCCTCAGGGGCATTCCAAAATCTTGCCAAGGGGCTCTGCACTGTGAAGTTTCTCCCTTTCGCAGCCTTTCAACCCCCCTTCTCCCTCTCGCTGTGCGAAGCTGCTAACTCCCCCGGACAGGCCCACCCTCCCCGAAGGCGGGGCGGCGGCGGCCCCCACCCCGCTCTCACCCCCTGAGGGTCCTTGACGAAGTAGCTTCCGCTGGAGCCCTGGTAGATGCGCTCGGGGAAGATGCAGCGTTCGATGGCCAGCTCGGCCTGCCGCACTACAGCCTCGAACTCGGGGTCCTCCGGGAACTCGTTCCGCTCGCGGTGGGCCTGCGCGGCGTGGGCCGCCGCCGCCGCCTGGGCGGCCAGGGCTTGGGCCTGCGCCGCCACGGTTTGGGTCTGGCCTTGGGCCGCCGCGCCCCGAGCCCGGTCCAGCAGCGGCTGCCGCTCGCGGTCGTGGCCTGGCGAGCCCGGCGGAGAGGGGGCCGGGCCAGCAGCCGCCGCCACTCGGACCGCGCCCCCCGGCACCTGCGGAAAGTGAGCGCCCGAGCCGGACGGGAAGGTGTAGTCCGGGGGTTGGGCCCGCTCGGGGGACACCAGTGGGCTCGTTTCGTCCATCCCTCAGGCCGCCGGCTCCGAGTCCCGGTGCGCTCCACACAGCTGAGCTCCCGGCCGGGACCAATCCGCGAAACCCCCAACCCACGCCTGGCCAACCAGGTCGCGGCGCCCAGTTGGCCCCGCCCTTACCTAGCCTGTTTACTTGGCGACGAGTAGGTACGACCCCTCGCGCGCGAACGGTAGCCAATCAGAACCAGCGTCTACGTAATCGCGCCCTCCGCATTTTTCGCCCGTCACCGTCTGTGGAGATTGCGCATGCTCCAGGAGCCAAACCCGGGTCAGACACGCCCCCTGCTCTTACCAGCCCAGCCCCTCCCCTAGCTTCAAATGCTGCCCTGTCTTTAGGAGCTTTCAGTGAAGTAGCCTATTTAATCTGTCATTTGTTGAGTGTGTACTATGAACCAACCTGCTATGAAAGTAGAGAAATCTAATCTTTGTATCTGCATTCATTCAATCGTGCATTCATAAAATACTTATCAAGCACTTACTATGTCCTAAATTCTAGAGAGACAAAACTGAAGCAAAGAAACAAAAATCCCTAATCTGGGGGCCTGAGTGGCTCCCTGGGTTAAAGCCTCTGCCTTATGCTCAGGTCATGAGGAATCGAGCCCGCATAGGGCTCTCTGCTCGGCAGGGAGCCTGCTTCTTCCTCTCTCTGCCTGCCTCTCTGCCTACTCGTGATCTCTGTCAAATAAATAAACAACATCTTAAAAAAAAAAAAATCCCTAATCTACCGAAATAAAAAGGTTTTTAAAAACCACAGGCCTAATGCAATTTACACAGTGTCCAGCCCGAATGCTCTATGCTTCTTTGTCCATTGAAGAAAGATATGATCTTATTAGACTAGAAAGTACCCTGAGCTGAGTACATGACTGTTTTATTCACCCTTGTAAAACGTTGCTGTCTAGACACGATAGGGACTCTGTGTATTTTTATTAGCGGAAAAGAGAAGGAAAAACTGTCCTTGCCCTCAAGGGGAAGACATACAGCTCTCTGAGGCAGCAGAAGAAAAGGCGCCAACACTGAAAACTGAAAACTCATAATAGAAGTTCAGCGATTTGCGGGTAGGCTAGAAAGTCAGCAAAGGCCTTAAAGAGGTCATTGTATGAGATAGGTTTTAAAGAAAGAATGTAATTAGATAAGGGGGGGAGGGAGAGAAAAAAGGGAATCAGAGTCATGAGTTTGAAGCCCACCTCCACGCTTAAGCCTCTGTTTTCTCTCCTGCAAAATGGGAATTATCATCCCTTCCTCAATTAAATAAGAATGATGATAATGTATATAAAACCCTGAGCATAGTGCTTAGTACCTAAAAAGTGCACTAAAAATGATCATCCCTCCCTCAAATAAGAATCAAGGTAGTAAAACACTTAGCACAGTGATTAGTATACTCAACAAATGGTACCACCTTTTTTATCATTGATGTTGTTTTTGTTTTTGTGCTTAGAATCACCAGCAGACTAGAGACATGGGTTTTCACAGGAGATAATCAGCCATATTGTAACCAATATTTCATAGTCACTCTTCCTTGAATCAAATTATTGTCACAGTACTAGAAATACTAGAAGTACTGAACTGAATTGAATTGCACTGAAAAAACTATTGTTTAATTGTATGTGTGAGAATGCCTTAAGCTTTTTTTGGCATGTAAACCATTTTAGGCCAAGGTCCATACAGTTTTCCATACAGTTTCCTCTTTCAGTTAGAAAACATGTATTTTCCTTTCCATCCAGACACCAAATAATTCAGTAATACTTGCCTCTTGCATCCCAGGGGTCACATCCACAAAGATGATCTCTTGGTATTATTCATCTCATTTAGCCCATAAGCTTCAAATTATTGTCAAGGAAAGCTGCAAGATTTAGAGTTCTCCCCTGAGAACTCTAAGGGTAATTCTCAAAATTTATTTTTGATTCTACCACTTAGAACTTGTTCTACTGGACCAAAAAAAAAAAAAAAAAAAGTCAATATATTCCCTATTACCTATGAAAAGCTAGCACTCACCAAATACTAAGCACATGCCAGACATTGTTTCTTGTAAATTACAAGAATATAACTGAATTACATATAAACGGCATTACAGCTCTTATGATTTTGGAAAATGAGTAAAGTGACTTGCCTGTGGTCATGCAGCTAGGCAGACTAGCTCAATGCTTTTAACACTATATTGTCTCTTGTTAAATATCTCTATGAGATGTGTTTCATATGTGTTGTGGGAAGCAAAGGCAAAAGAAGAATTAAATTTCCCTGCTACTTAAAGCCCACTCACAAGTACTTAAAACAGGCAGAGTGACATTCCTCTAGGAACTCAGCTGTCCTGACATTAATACTTTGCTAAGGGAAAATGCTTAGCTTAACATTATCCCAACAATCCCCACACCCCATCCTGTAAGTCTACTTCAACATATAAAAATTTCTTTGGAGGGACGCCTGGGTGGCTCAGTTGGTTAAGCAGCTGCCTTCGGCTCAGGTCATGATCCCAGCGTCCTGGGATCGAGTCCCACATCGGGCTCCTTGCTCGTCAGGGAGCCTGCTTCTCCCTCTGCCTGCCATTCTGTCTGCCTGTGCTCGCTCTCTCTCCCTCTCTCTCTCTGACAAATAAATAAATAAAATCTTAAAAAAAAAAAAATTTCTTTGGAAAATTCCTTTATCTCTACCCCCAAGATATCTCTTGGCCATCACCCCAAGCCTATGACCCACCAATACACATCTGAAGGGTCTCATGACTAAAGTTTTATTAGAAAGTAATAAATGACCTTTTCCTAACAAGAGCTAGTCCCCTCAAGGTCTTGGAAACGTTATTTCCAAAATTCCTTAGAGACTTACACTATGCCTAATCCCCTCACAACTTGAAAGTATATAACCAGCCACTCTTCATTACCCCAGTACAGCTCTTTCTGCCCACAGGTACCGTCCCTGTGCTCTGTCCCTATGCTTTAATAAAACCACCTTTTTACACTGAAGATGTCTCAAAAATTCTTTCTAGGCCATTGGCTCTGAACCCCAACATCTTTCCTACATCATTATGTATTCCCTTTCTTTCCATATTCTCTGATGCCACATTACTTTTGAGACTCTCAAGATGTCTTTTCTACATTATTAAAATAGCTTGAGTTTGCTCTTCTGCTTCCAATCTCTCTGGTATCTCAGAACATCACTACCAGATTAATTTTCTTTTTCTTTTTCTTTTTTTTTTTTTTTTAAAGATTTTACTTATTTGACAGACAGAGATCACAAGTAGGCAGAGAGGCAGGCAGAGAGAGGAGGAAACAGGCTCCCGGCTGAGCAGAGAGCCTGATGCGGGGCTTGATCCCAGGACCCTGGGATCATGACCTGAGCAGAAGGCAGAGGCTTTAACCCACTGAGCCACCCAGGTGCCCCCCAGATTAATTTTCTTAGAACACTGGTTTCCTGGTGTCACTGCTCTGATTAAGAAACTACATTTTTATTGCAGTAAAATAATGCATTTTTATCATTTTAACCATTCACTAGTATACAGTTCAGTAACATTAAATACATTCACAATGTTGCATAACCATCATCACTGCCTATACCCAAAACTTTTTCATCAACCCAACAAAAACTCTGTATCCATTACACAATAACTCCCTCTTTCTCTAGCTCCTGGTAACTTCTACTTTCTGTGTTTATGAATTTGCCCATTCAAAACACTACATTTTGCAAACTATATTTTCCCCAAATTTTTCACTTAACCACACAATCTACCTAACCTTATTTCATCAAATTTCCTAATATACATTCTCTAATCTAATAAGGTCTTCTTATTAGGTTAGATTAGATTTTCTTTTTAATCTAATAAGATTTTCTTGACATGCCATTCTCTCAAAGACTGTGTTTTTATTTATAGTCGCTACCACACAGTTTAGCATGCTTAACCATTGAGTGTTAGAGCTGGTTGAATCTTATAGGTCTGCTAGTCCAACTCATTTTACAGGCTGGAGAGCTTAATAACTGGCTTGAGTCACACACACTTGGTGGCAGACATGGAATTTGAACATAGAATCCAAGTCTGGTCAAACAATGTAAAACTGGTGTTTATGGAGCATAATGTCACAGACACAGTATTGAGAATTTTACACTATATTCTCATATAAGTGCTAGGGAGTCTTTATTATTATTATTATTTTCATTTTCTATCTCATATATGAAGAAACACCCAAATTGGAGCAGTTTGTATACTGTCTTCATGCACTTGCCGCCTTTTAATAATTAAATATAGTCTTGATGTTTTTCCCTGTGCATGAATCTTTTCTTCTCCACATCTAGGCAGTAAGTCCCATGAGGGCAGCGATCCTGTCTTTTCTAGCTGCATTCACATTGATAAGTAAATAAATGGATAAAAGGATTGGCGTACGTAATATTTGGAGAATTCGCTCCAATCTCGATACTACATTTTAAACACAAAGATCTGAGTAATGACAACACAACTCCTCACAACGAGTTGAATGCGTAAGTGTCCTGGTATCACAGTGCTGGCACGGGGCTGACACTCATTAAACCTCAGCTGCCTGGTCCAGCATGTTACAATTCACAAAGCTGAAACTCAAAATCCAGGTTTGGGTTCTGCGCTTAAACTCCAGGGAGGAGTCATTTACAGCTCTGAAGGTCCGCGTAGGACCGGAAGCGCTCGAGTTGGTGGTCCCTGATTCTTCTGACCCAGGTTTGGTTTGGTTTTGCTTTTGTCCACATTTCGGTTAGGATGTCTCTGAGCAGACGAGACCTGAGGTCTCCCTCAAGTGGCCGAGGTAGGACCACCGGTTCAGCCCCACCCCTCTTTCGGATGTTTGACCCGAGCTCTTGAGACGCTCCGCCCCGCACAAAGATGGCGCAGAGTCCGCGCTGAGCCAATGGAGAGTGGCGTTGCTCCTGGTTGCCTAGGTAACAGCCAATGGACAGCCGGAATTGTGCCCAGTGCGGCCGCCCGGGATGGCGGCGTCAAGTGGGGCAGGCGCTGGTGGAGGTGGTGGGGAGGCTGGTGGCAGGGGCGAGCCCGGCGGAGCCGCCGTCCGGGCCGCTGGAGCCCCGCGTCTGGGCGTGATTGTCATCCCGAAAGGCGGAGCTCAGGTTGGCCCGCAGCGCAGGAGGGAGGGGGCCATGAGCTTGTGGTCGGTGAGAAAGGACTGAGGAGCCCATCCCGAGATGACCTGCTGGGGATCGGGATTCCATCCAGGAGGCACTGACTAGAGGGCGGGGCCGGTGGGATACCGAAACCGTGAGACCAGAGAACCTCTGGTCTCTACCCGTGGGGCCGAGGCCAGGGAGAGCCCACGGTACCTGGCTTGGCGAGCGTGGGGGTGGGGGGTGCTGCGTCCGGAGGGGATGGTGGACCAGTGTGAGCAGAGACCTGGCCCCAGCGGTAGAGCAGAGCTCGGGTAGAGGGAAGGATCAGTGCTGGGATCCAAGAACGGGGTGGGAGATCGACTAGGAAATGTTCTTAGTTGGGTCTAGGGCTTTGTTTGGCCTGGGCCGGCCTGTCACACTCTGCTGGAGAGACGTCCCACACAGCAAGGCTTGGGGAATGGGATGCCTCATTAGGGGATGGTGGCACGCCGGCTAGGTAGCATCTCCAAACTGCTTAGGTATCCGCAGGAGTAACTCGGATTTATTAGAATCCGCTCCACGCATTTCCTTTTTCATAAAATAGGATAGTATCATGGCAGTCCTCATCACCCCCAAGCCTTTTTTTTTTTTTTTAATCTTCTTTCTGGTATCAGGATTTTCTTCCCACTTTCTTCAATCTAACTGTCCCACAGTCTTACTAAATAAGACCTTTGTCTAGTAGCAAAACATTTTTTTTTCTTTTTGAGTTCAAGGAAAACTTATAGTAAAGAGACTTGTAAATTTATAAGAAAAACGGTTATTTCAAACTCATTTAAAACACTTTAAAAGGAATGTGTGACTTTTTGTTCTAGGTTTCTTACAAGCCAGAATTTTTGTTCACCAGTCTTCCTTTCTTCTCTTTAGGATTCTAAAAGCCTAAGACTGCTTTCTTTATAATTAAGAGAACTTTGGCAAGATATTCATACCCTGGGGAGGCTTTGGAGGGACAATGTAAAGGTATATGTGGGGAAAGCAGGCTGCCTCAAAGCAATACTCTTTAAGTGAAAATCTGTTCCTCTTTTTTATTTTTTTTTTAAGATTTTATTTATGTATTTGACAGACAGAGATCACAAGTAGGCAGAGAGGCAGGCAGAGAGATTGGAGGAAGCAGGCTCCCTGCCAAGCAGAGAGCTGGATGCGGGGCTCAATTCCAGGACCCAGGATCATGACCCAGGCGGAAGGCAGAGGCTTTAACCCACTGAGCCACCCAGGTGCCCCAAATCTGTTCCTCCTTGTGGTAGCTTTTTTTTTTTTTTTTGTCATTTTTAATCCTCCGAATTTGAATGCAAGATAATGTGAATGCATAATATTTTTTTTAGCAACTTTGATTCCTAAACTCTAAAAAAAAAGACAAATGAAATGGAAACAAAAGTTAACATTCCTGTCTCCAAGTTCTATCTGGAAATGTCTGGATCAGGAGAAAATAAAGATAGAGGGGGTATCGTCTTTTGTGCAGAGCAACAGTGTATTTGTTTCACGGACAAAAGTCATTTTCTTTTAAGTAAATGTTTCAATTGATCCTTTGCAACCCATTTATCAAAAGAGCAGAAAGGGTGGGTATCTGTTTAGAAGCCTGAATCTTCTTGGTTTGAGACTAGATTTCATATGTATAGCTGAAGCCTAAACTCCTAGCCCACCTGTTGTTGTTGTTGTTGTTGTTGTTATTGTCGTTGTTTTAAGATTTTATTTATTTATTTGACAGAGATCACAGAGAGGCAGGCAGAGAAAGAGCTGGGGGGAAGCAGGCTCCCTGCTGAGCAGAGAGCCCAATGTGGGGCCCGACCCTAGGACCCTGGGATCATAACCTGAGCCAGAGGCTTTAACCCAGGCATCCCAACCTGTTCTCTTTAAGAAGATTTTTTGGGTCACTGATACAAACACTGATTTGGATCCTTATTAAAGTGTTGGGTTTTCAGTCATTTTCATCAGTACTGGCTATTCTGTATTAAACTAGATTTGTTTCAATGACCATGATTTCTTTTTGGGTCAGTGGCTGTACAGCTGACGATAACTTAGCCTGGCTAATTATAGAAGTCATAAATGAACATCACTGTCCCTGGCAGTGACAGTATCAATTATTTGGACATAGGTAGAAGTTTCTAGTCAAATGTGTTCAACCATGGCCTGAGACCCATAGTGTCCACCTGTGTCCTTTAGTTAGCACTTCCATTGTGCTCTTGGGAATAGACATCATGTTGACCAGCAACTATTGAAGGGAGTTTGCTCTGTCTCCATAGATAAAGAAAGGAATGGAAATTTACTTTTGGAAAAACAAATGAGAGAGGAGGTTGCAGGGTTAGGTGGAGAGATGATGATCCAGTTACTACAGCTGTGTAACATTATACCCCAACCATAGCTGCTTAAAACCACCGTATGATGCTCACAGATTCTGTGAGTCAGGAGTTCGTAGACGGCATCGTGGGGATGACCTCGCTTTGCTCCATGATACCTCAGATGGGATGCCAACTCAGTGGCTGGGAGCTAGAATCATCTGAAGGCTCCTTGGCTTACAGCTGGTACCTGGGCTAGGCTGATTCAAAGATGAGCATTGCCAACTGGAGCAGCAACACATGTGGCTCTTTGTGGCTCAGCTGCCTCACAGCACAGTGGCCTCAGGGTAGTCAGACCTCCGTGGGCAAGCACACCAGTGAGCAAGAGGGAAGATGCGTCACCTTTTCTGATCTGACCTCGGAACACACCATCTCTTCCATCATGTTCTATTGGTTGAAGCAATCGCAAGCCTGCCCTGATTCAAAGAAGAGTTAGACTCTACCTTTTGATGGGGCAGTGGCAAGGTCAAATTATAGAATGCGTAATACAGGAGATACGACCGCAAATGTCTTTGGAAGTTACAATCTGCCACGTTTGGTAATTAGAGGATGATCTTTTCCATTTCATTGGCCTCTTTAAAAACTTTAGAATTTTCTCCCTCAGAGCTACAGCATACCAAAAGAGGGGCTAGGTTTACAATTTGAGGGGCTGGCTAGTATCGTGTCCAAAGACAGTCTTCAAACTGGAGAAACGCTGTTCCCTTCCTTTCAGCAACCTTCTACTGGACCCTGTGAAACAAGTGGGATGCCATTATGAGGAAGTTTCATGTGGCCTTGAGAAAAAGTAAACAAATGTTGGAGTCAGCTCCCCCCAGCCCCTGGACAGTCAGACCGACTCCTCACACGCCACCGCAGTAACTCCTTCCAGACCTCTGCGTGAGGACAAGTTTACAGCTGCCAGACATCAAAAGGAATAGCCCTTGTCTTATCATCTCCCTGCATAAATCATGATGTTGTGTGTATGTTTCGGATTGGTTGTTTAGTGATAAGATTTATTATAAGATACGGCCTTTTTAAGATTCTGACTTGTTTTGAAGGAATGAAATATTTCAGATTTGTTCCATAAGCTGACTTTTAGTACGCTGACTTCATTAGTTTTGGGAAGAACTGAAGACGGCCTGTAGTTATCAAAGCCTACCTGGACTGGAAAGAGTTTTCCTCTGCAGTTTCGATGGAAAACTGCTTCTCTTCCTCTCATTAATGTTGTATTTGCAGTGGAGTCGTGCTGACCTCTACCCCAGGCCCACTGATACTGAGCTGACAACAAGAGGGTTGAGCCTGAAATCGGATGCTGACCTTGTGGAACATTGGTGGAACAAAGATGGCACACCAGGTACCAGCGTCACCCATCAAAGAAATAGCCCCAGAGCGTTCAAGGGGCTTTAAGACAAGAAGAAAATGATCCCTACCTCGGGGCATCTTCTGCTGTGTCAGAGAGCCTGGGCATGGAGCTCCTGAGTAGCAACAGTGAGAAAATCCCTGGTGGAGCTGTGGGAGGGGCTTGCAGACACCACTGGAAGAGCTTCCCAAGCTGGCCTCATTAAGGGGGTAGAAACAAACGTTGCTTCCTGTTTGGGCGAGAGCCAGGGATTCTCAGTCATCTGTTCTCATAGCTGGAAGGAAATGAGAGCTGTGAGACAGGGCCGGGCCCCAGAAGATGGGACTGAGCCCTGCTCTGTTTAGGCCCAGCTGTTTGCACGTCAGAATGTTTCTGGGCTTACGGCATCTGTATCCAAAAACATCATGGCATAGGTCAAAATTAAAATATCCCATAGTGTGGCGATAAAAAAACAGGCAAGTGGCAATTGTAGTTTACTTTCTCTCAGCTTAGAATTTACCTCAGGCAAAATTGCTGATTTTTCTTTTCCAAATGTTATTTGAATTATATTGGTAGCATTTTTATACTGAGACTTTGGAGAAATTTCCAGTATAGTAAGTGAATGTGTGAGTTGAGATGTCTGTTTTTGAAGGAATAAAAGAATAACATTTAGTGGACAGGGCCTAGTGGTGTTCTAGGTACTTTCATGTATCTTATTTAATTTTTTTAAAAGATTTTATTTGTCTGAGAGAGAGAACAAGTAGGGGGAGCAGCAGAGGGAAAGGGAGAGGGAGAAGCAGGCTCCCCGCTGAGCAGGGAGCCTGAAATGGGGCTCGATCCCAGGACCCTGAAATCATGACCTGAGCCAAGGCAGACATTTAACCAACTGAACCATCCAGGTGCCCCAGTGTATCTTATTTAATTTAATCCATAACAATTCTCTGAAGTAGGTATATTTTCTCCACTTTACAGGGGAGGAGACCAAGGTTTAGAGGCATGTAAGTAACCTTCTCAAGGTCACACAGTGCACCGGGATGTGGCCCCAGTGCTGGTGCTCCTGGGCCCACACACCACTTTATTACACTGGGAGACATGTGGGATAGGAAGACAGGATGGCATTTAGGAGCATGGGCCCCAGAGGCTGACCCCTAAGCTTCTGCTTCTAATTTGCACATGTTAGCTGGGGGACCTTGGTCAATTTACTTACCCTCTCTGCCCCTCAGCTCCCTAATCTGTAAAATGGAAATGATAGTACTACCCACCTCATAAAGCTGTGAGCTGAAATTAGATTATGGCTTTTTAAAAAAGATTTTATTTGTTTATTTGACAGAGAGAGACACAGCGAGAGAGGAAACACAAGCAGGGAGAGTGGGGGAGGGAGAAGCAGGCCTCCCGAGAAGCAGGGAGCCTGACGCGGGGCTCAATCCCAGTACCCTGGGATCATAACCCGAGCTAAAGGCAGATGCTTAACCCACTGAGCCACCCAGGCACCCCCCTCTAGGTTCATTATTAAGAGGGGACCTTTCAATAGTGGTTTATAGATCAGAGAACATTCACGCATAGTGTATCTGTTTGTTGGAGTAGTAGTCCCCATGCTTTCAAGTGTGTAGCAATCTAATGATGTGCTTGTTAAAACTACAGGTTCCCAGGCTCTAACTTACGGAATCTAATTCAGTAGATCTGGGTGTGGGTCTAGGACTCTGCATTGTTACCGTCACTTGTAAAACTGTTGTATTGCTTAGATCTGGAAAAGATGAAGAGGTGAGTAAACAGACCTAGGGAATTAAAAAAGAACTAGGGATCGCACTTTTTAAGATATGTCAAATACTTCTGTTTGTGTTTAATGCTAATCAGGTATCTTATTCCCCTTTTGTAGGGTATCTTTGAATGCAAGCATTCTTTTAGTGCATATGTGAACCCATACCTGGCCAGTCTCCAAATGTTGCTAGGTTGTTTATTTTTCTCTAATATCTCTGTCATAGCCATTTCTTCCTTCTGCTCCCATTATACTGTTATCCCCCTAGTTCAGGCCTTATGATCATGTACCTGGGTGTATCGGTTAGCTTTTGCTGGGTAATAATAACACACCACCTCAAAACACAGTGGTTTCAAACAACCACCATGTATTTAGTCCGTCATTCTGTGGCTCAGTAAATTGGGCCTGGGTTCAGGAGCAGCTCTGTTGGTCATGTCCGAGCTCACCCAGGCGTCTGTTGGCAGCTGGGACAGCAGCTCCACATGACCCCTCATCACCAGCCAACTAGCCCGGGCTCGTCCACATGGGGGCAGGACAGTTCCAAGTGTGGTGGACGAGCACTTCCCAGACCTCTGCTGTATCCCTTTTGCTAACGTTCCATTAGTCCAAGCTGAGTCCCATAACCCACCCAGACCCAGTGGGCGGAGGAATAAGTGCCCGTGAATGGAGGTGCTGCCATGTCACATCACAAGGGTGCAAGCAGAGGTAGAGTAATCAGTGCTCATTTGCACGGTCTCCTGAAGGATTGCATCTCCTGCCTTGCAGGCTTTTCTGGCTGTGGGCTCTTGCTGCTCCAAAGCCTCCCGTTTCCCACTGCCACGTTCATTTTCTGTAAGCACTGCTTTTGAATTATGTGCCTGTTCATAAACCCCCCCAGGGCCTCCGTCTTTCCCCCTCCCCATTAGCTGGAAACTCTCCTGCCTAGCTTTCTGAGGTCTCCTTAGAGTAGCCTGACCGGAAAAGCAGAGCGTGCAAGACAAGAGAGAAAGAACTAGCAGCAGTCGGGGGAGGCGGGGACACTAGTCCAGCCCAGCCACAGCCTAGCTTTTCACTTCTCTCTCTCCATCTATGAAACGACAGAGTTTAGGTTTAAATCTGGAAGGTTCTTCTCAGATTTCAGATTTCGGCTGAGTACCTAGACAAACTTATTTCCTCTTACTCTGTAAATAAACTTTCCACTGCAGTAAGACCCAGTTTATTATTTTCCCACTGAACATCCGGGTTATGTGCCTCTTTGTGCTTTCATTCCCCAGGTTTTCTCCATGGGCGACTGCCCTTTGCTTGCTTGCTTGCTTGCTTGCTTGCTTTTTTTAAAATATATTTTTAAAAGATTTTATTTATTTATTTGACAGACAGAGATCACGAGTAGGCAGAGAGGCAGGCAGAGAGAGAGCACGGGGGCGGGGGGAGGGAGACAGGGTGGAAGCAGGCTCCTGCTGAGCAGAGAGCCCGATGTGGGGCTCTATCCCAGGACCCTGGGATCGTGACCTGAGCCAAAGGCAGAGGTTTTAACCCACTGAGCCACCCAGGCGCCCCAAGGCTGATAACTTTTAAAACCAGCAGGAGGATAAGACTGCTTGAGCAGAGGTGGTGATGATGGGAGTGGGAGTGGGGGGTTGGAAAGGTGGATGTGTTTATTAAATGTATCCAAGATAACATATACTTACTCAGCTGGTTAGTTGATAGAATATATCTGCAAAATTGCTTTGCAGACCTTTCCTCCAGCCATCCTGTGACTCTGGTTCTCGCCTCTGTTTCCTGCAGTGTTTATCCTTTTCTTCCGTAAGCTGTCACCATGACCCTGACAAAAGGTTCCTTCACCTACTCCAGTGGCGAGGAATATCGCGGCGAGTGGAAGGAAGGTGAGAGGACCCCTGGGGAATCAAGTGATGAACACTTCCTTTGGCTGAGAAGCCAACTGGATGAGTCTTCATAGTCTAATTCCAGGATTTAATCTGAATAGTGCCTTTCCTTTCTTTGATTTTAGGACTAAATAAAGGCATTAGAAAATGCTATTGTTTGCCCAATCTCCAGCAATGAGTTAAACCTTTCCACTTCAGAATATAAAGTGTTTTAACCTCTTTTTATTCTTTAGTGGTATTATTTGGGAATGTTTTTTATTTATTTATTTTTAAAGATTTTATTTATTTATTTGACAGAGAGAGATCACAAGTAGGCAGAGAGACAGGCAGAGAGAGAGGGGGAAGCAGGCTCCCCACTGAGCAGAGAGCCCGATGCGGGGCTCGATCCCAGGACCCTGGGATCATGACCTGAGCAGAAGGCAGAGGCTTTAACCCACTGAGCCACCCAGGCACCCCAGGGAATTCTTTTTTTAAATACTCATGTACCAGGCAGAGTAAAATGAATTATTTTGAGTGCCTATAAAGTAGAAAATGCAGAATTCATTGCAATTACTTGGCTCCAGTGAATTTTAAAAGTTCAGGAAGATCTGGAAATTAGGACAGAGAGATACTCAAGAGCAAGTGACAGTCATTGCCTTGAATTTCCTGTGACAGCTCACTGCATTCGGAAGTATCTAGTCACAGGATTGGTGAAATTCTTCAGAGCCTGATATATAGTCTGACCACTTCAAAGCCTCATGGGGCCAGTCCTAGCAAGCCATGAGCTGCCCCGAGAAGCCTCGACTTCCTACAGTTGTGCCAGTGAAGAGAAGTTCCAGCGGTTTTGACACGCACCCAATTCTTCTCACGTTAGATCCCTATAGCTCGTGAATTTTTGAGCCCTGAGAGGAGAAAGTGGGCAGATGGGATGTGCCCTTGCTCGGGACATCTCCCACCTTTCTCCTGCCTCCCCAACACCTGCCGTCCCTGAAATCTGGCCGTTTAGGGGCACCATTCTGCCAGGCGGTCTCTGTCCCAACTGCTGGAAGGACATGATTGCTCCTCCAGCATTTTGCTGTGTTCTGGTCAGTTCAATGGGTAAGCACAGCCCTCCTGACATAACAAAACCTGAATCAGTATTGCCAGTCAGCCCGTGAGGTGTGCCCCCTAGCTTCAGGGTGCCCTGTGGCACTGTTTCCTCTCCGAGAGGCAGCAAAAGTCAGTGGTGAGGGCTCTCCAGCCAGGATGTCTGCTGCATTTGCTTTTTTGCTCTGCCACTCAGCAGCTCTCTGGTCTCGAGCAAGTGATAGCCTCTCCTAGCCTTGCTTTCTGCATCTGTGAAATGGGAATAATAATAGTACTGTGCTTTCTGTGTCTGTGAATGGGAATAATAATAGTACCTCTTAACACTGTGAAAATGAGATAGGTTGATAAATGCAAAGTGCTCAGAAGAGTGTCTGACACGTAGTCAAGGCGCTATGGTAGTTAGTTTTATTTTCCAGCCCTCTTACTCATACCGAGAGAGACCTGCTCCACATCTGATGCTCGTGACAAGATGGGAAGGTCCCAGGAGCCAGATTTTCCTGGTGTCTGACTCTGGGTAGCAGTTCTCTGCCCCGCTAACATCACTGCCTCTCTTCATTCCCTTGTGGGTCGGGTGATGAGCGACAAGGGATGTTAGGCATCAAGGGGGTCTCTGAAGCTGCCTTATCCCAACCTGACAACTGTCTCTTTGTTCAGGCCGCAGACACGGTTTTGGTCAACTGATGTTTGCAGATGGTGGCACCTACCTGGGTCATTTTGAGAATGGGCTCTTTAATGGCTTCGGGGTACTGACCTTCTCCGATGGCTCAAGGTAAGTCCTGGTCATTCCTTTCTCAGCTTTGCTAGTGGTAAATAGCTGCTCAGACCTGAGCTTGGCCCAGGCCCTCTGAAAACAGGCAAGAAGTAAGCAGTTCTTTTATGAGTTACTTTATAAATAGATCTAAAATTTGAAATGGCGAGGAGCCAAGTGACCTTCCACCCCACTGCCATTCTCTTGCGTTATCTCCTTGAGATTAGAGCCACATATCACACGTGCTCTCTGGCCCTCCTCTGGGAGTGGGGTGGTGGGGGCAGGGATTCTGAGGCAGAATCCGCTCCGCTCCTTGGCATTAATAGGTAACACCCACTGGTAGCTGCTTCACACAGTTAACCTGACAACTCACTACCTCCATCTCCTGTTCCTGCAGGTATGAGGGGGAGTTCGCCCAGGGCAAGTTTAACGGCGTCGGAGTCTTCGTCCGACATGACAACATGACATTTGAAGGGGAATTTAAAAATGGCAGAGTAGACGGTTTTGGTAAGTCCCAGCCCCGTAGGATGGGAGCCCGGGGGTGGGAGCGTGCCAGGGGTGGAGATACACCTGGTTAGCTTGGATGTTTCCCGGACGTCTGCCCATCCATAGGGTCAGGCCCGATGCCCGCCTGTGGAACTTACTGGTTCAGGGCCCGGGAGTGAGGGCTGCAGGTTTTCCTTCTCCACTGCTCCGTGATAGCGAGCTGCTCTCTGAGTCACGCACGCCCTTATCATTTGCTCTGTTCCCCTCAAAGGCCTGCTGACCTTCCCTGATGGTTCTCACGGCATACCCCGCAACGAAGGTCTATTTGAGAACAACAAGCTGCTGCGGCGGGAGAAGTGCTCCGCGGTCGTGCAGCGGGCCCAGAGCGCCTCCAAGTCAGCCAGAAATCTCGCTGCCTAACGGGCGTCGTGCACCCGTGCCCGGGCTCGGGCCACAGCGCAGGCCCCCACGATGCACTCGAGGTGAATACGTGAACCGGATGTGAGAGAAGATGAGAATGCCCACGGAGCGGAGGCCTGGAGACGAGCCCCCTCACCTGCCAGGTGGGGATTTGATGACGAAAGTCGTGAGGACTCTGGCCTCCCCTGGCCCGCAGCAGGGTCATCAGTTCTGTCTCTGCCTCTCTCCCTGGTTGGTATTCTCTGTCCCTAACGCCTCGGGTCGCCCAGTGCAGACCTGCTTCTACTTGATTTCCTGCCCATGGAGGCAGAATTTCTTCATTCTGCCTGTACTGGGGGCAGTTGATCCTAGCCCCAGATTAGGGCGAGTGCTTTGTGCTACCCTGGAGAAACAGAGAAACATAGGGGTGGCTTAGACAGCTCCTCCTCAGTCCTATGAAAGTCAAAGAGTGTTTCTGTGTGTCGCCCCCTCTTTGGCTGCTGGTTGGCTTCATAACTCCGGGCCTTCCACTTTGTCTCCCCAGGCTGGTATCTGTGTCTGCTTGTCCCCCTGTGAAGGTTTCGGTAAGAATACGATTTCCCTCTCCCTTGATTGTACAAGCTGTCTTCCTTACCTGAGTTCCAGCAGCTAATTTGTGCCCTATTGTGCCTCTCTCCTTCCTTAGACATGGGCAGGATCCCTTTGGGGCACAGTCAAGAAACTGATACGAGGAGTCATCTCATAATGTGTATTTGTTACTTACCCCGGGGCAGAGGAGACATCTCTGGGCCACTTCAGGCCCTACCATGGAGTAACTGAATCCTTAGGGATGGCTTGGGCTGACACAGCCCCTTCCCACTGGACCCATAGGTCAGACCCACCTCAACCCCTTGGAGCTTGGGGAGAATTGGACGGGTTCTAGGACTGCAGTGAACCAAAAGAGAATTTGGCTCCTTGTGTTTGGTTCACAGTTAACTCTTCCATCACGAGCTTGGCTGTCAGCCCTGGGGGTCAGATCTGGATGGATGGGGCCCCTGCATAGTTTATGACGGAGGCCTCCAGTTACCCCAGGACCCAGACATGCCCACTCCACTCCCAGCCCCTTACCCTAACAGCAGATTGTGGTGGAAATTATAGCCCTGTGCCTCTATTTATTCTCCGAGTTGTACTGTAGAAACAAGTGTTTATGAGGAATAAACAATCAGCAGAACTGCCTATACTGAGTTTCTCGACTCTGGCTCTGCCTCCTCATGAATCAGCCCATTTGCCATTTCTAAAAGTTCATCACAGATGGGGTCTTGGAACCGACACTGCAGACTCTACTACACAGTACTTAATTCTCCATACTTCCGAGAGGTATGAGAGGTAAGAGAAGGGAATGATCAGCTTTTTTTTTTTTTTTTTTTTAAATCAGATGGGTTCAGATTGCCCAAACTAGAAAGTGGCAGAGCTGGGTGAGATTTGTATCCCGGTTTTTCTGATTCCAAATCATTTTCCACTGTACTTCTCTTGCCCTGAGCATCATGAGTGCCCCCATCCTGAAACCAGTTATTCTCATATCTGCTGGATTACCTTGGGCAAGTCAATTCCTGCCCCTTTTCCTGCAGCAATACCTCCCCAACTGAGCTAATGTGCAGTGTTCACCTACCGTGCTAACCCCTTTACATGCGTGATCTTGTGGAGCCCTGGGAGAAAGGAACTGTTATAATCCCCAAGTTACAGATCAGATCAGGCACTTAAGTAGTTGCCCAAGGTCCCACCAACCCTAAGGGGCAGGTCTGAGAACTTAAACCCAGGCCTGCTTAACGTAAGCCCAGAGGCTGAGTGCTTTACCAGTACACCAGCCAGCCTCCCAAGCCCTCAATTTTTGCCCCATCCCTAAGCTGGATTCTCCTCTGAGCCCAGATCTTCTGGATGTTGCCTGTGAGAAGAGCCCAGGTGCTAAGTCCCAAGCTTCAGTACCATTCTGATGGCCAATTTCAGTTGAAGATCAATACCTTTTATATTCTCTCCTCTAGCCTTTGTCCTAAACAAGGATCTGTTTACCTTTCTTTTTAGCCAGAGTAATTTTAAAAACATTCATCTCTGGTTTACTGCCACTAGTTAAGTATCACTGAATAAGGTTAAACATTTCTGGAGAAAGCAGCCTTTTTGGCTAATGTGCTAAGGTGTTTCTAAATATCTTAGTTGAACATTTTTGCCTCCTACCTCCCACCCAGAACTTCAACAAGCCTTTCCCCTAGGCCACCACTGATCTAATACCTTCTTTGCTGTAGATTGCTAGGGCCTCCCTCAGAGCCGGGAGAAAGCAGACCTTGAAAGTTAAATTGCTTCTAGGCAATTCTTGACATCCAGGCAGGAAACCTAAGACCTACATGGCAGCGAGGTGTCAATTTGTACAAGGCCACACTGTTTTCAGTTATTCAACTTTATTGTAAGAACAAAGTATTATTTTTAACAAAGAAAGCACAGTGCCTAAGGCAAGAAGATGGCCAGGTCTGAGACCAAGTCTCTTTCCCTAATGTTTCAGACCAGGTTGACTAGAAGTCTAAAATGTAACATTTATCCACCAGGTGTCATTATTTACCAACTCTGGCAAGGCCCTGGGCCAGCTCCATGCTCTCTACAGTTGAGATCAAGGCTAGAGATGAGAATATGAGATGATCAAAATGGGTTTAGGAAAGGCACTGTGTCTGGAATGTAACTTGGGGGCCTTTCAAAGGCCAGAGACGCTTTTCTGATTAGGTTTCCGAACCGCACCCCCTCGTTCCTCTGGAAGGAGTCAGGTTCTTAGGAAGAGCCCTGGCTCCCTGCTGCACTGTGCTGGGCTTAGGTGTGTACCCCCAAGTCTAAGCGGCCATCCCATCAGTAAAATACATGACCTTACTTTTGCCCCAGTTGCCCCCTGCTCATGCCGGCTGGTTCCCGGTCACGTGTCGCGGGGCACAGGAAGGCACAGGAGAGGGACAAGCAATTGCTCCTCCCCAGACTGAAGGTCTCTAGAGAGCCAGAGTTGAGGCTACAAATGCCAACGGTTCATGGGGCTGCGAGAATAGGAAATGGGTGTGCATGGCAGAGCCTGGGAGAGGCTCCCTAGAGGACTGAAGTAGGAAAACAGGCTTTGAAATCTCATACCCCCATGTGCCTCTTCAGCTGCAGGTACAGGGCAGGAAGCTGAGATGGGCTCAGGCCAGGCACCTGCCCTCAGAGCCAGCCATTACTGCTGAAGTCCATACGCAGGGCCTCCTCATCCGTGGAGCTCAGCTCCTGCAAGGGGCTACGGCAGGGGCCTCCGTAGTAGCCAAACCAGTCCATGGTCTTCTTCAGCCCGGGGATCCCAAAGCGCCGGGTCACCTGTGGAGCAGGGCCTGTTAGAACAAACTGGGGAGTCCCTGCCTGCACATGTCTAGACACACGTGTCACTTTAGAAAGTTAGGGTTCCTCCCACCTCCCCTGGTAAAGTAACTTTACCAAATCGGTGATACATTGGTTGATTGGAAATTCAGACTGAGAGACCAGAAGGCAGGGCAGCAGTAGAGAACACAATGCCAACAACTCAGATTAAGGAAGTCCCCTCTTTGGGTTTTAGGAGAAAAATCCACCCCATTAGGGAGAAACATGGCATTCACTCATCAACCTGGGACCAGAGATGATAGTAAGGCTGTGGGTCTGTAGCCCGGTTCCCAGGGACCTAGGGCCAGGGCACAGGCCTGTGAGGCCAAGAAAGGGAAGGGTCTGTGAGAGCGTTGGCCATAGCCCAGACCTCCACTGGCCCTGCAGGAGGGACACTGATCCATGCATAGCTCCCTCCTGACCCCAAATCTGAAAAACAATGCGTCAGCTGTCCTGAGAAATTCCACTATGAAGCCATATAGCACAAACTTACTACATCCAAGCAAGTTTTCTTGCCTAAAAAAATCGGGCTGGACGACATGATATCTGGAGGGTTTTCCATTATGAGGGGGATTGGAAGCTATTGTCATAACTTAAAATCATGCATGGGGTCTTCTAGAAAATGAAGCATCAAGTTTCTTCGCCTTTGGCATAATAACCAGCAACTGGTTATTTCACGCTGATCAAAAGTGTTAGGTGAGGGGCGCCTGGGTGGCTCAGTGGGTTAAAGCCTCTGTCTTCGGCTCAGGTCATGATCTCAGGGTCCTGGGATCGAGCCCCGCATCGGGCTCTCTGCTCAGCAGGGAGCCTGCTTCCTCCTCTCTCTCTCTCTGTTAGCCTCTCTGCCTACTTGTGATCTCTGTCTGTCAAGTGGATGAATAAAATCTTAAAAAAAAGAAGTGTTAGGTGAATCTCTGACTACCTAAAAGCTAGGAATGTAATCATTACTTACTAAAGTTTTATTTTGGAGGGAAGGTAAAACCTTAGAAGTATGGGTTTCACAAAGGGTAAAATAATCAAAGAGGTTGGCTGGGGTAGAGTTGAGAGCTGCTGCTGGATGACTGGTGACCATTTACCACTGGTGGCCAGGGTATTTTTTCTTGAAACGAGTAATACACCATCCTCCTCCTAGCCTGGCCCCAGCCACGATGTTCTAATAACCTCGGCTTTTCACCCAAAACATGAGTGGGGTGCGAAAGACCTAAGGGAGAGGATGGGAACAAGAAGTACCTAGAGAAAAGCCTTCTTCCACCGTAGGTGTGGATGTCTCTGAGTTGCCCCCTCCTCAGACCCACAGAAATAACTGAATGCTTTGGTGGTAAAGAACACAGAAAGTCCTAAATATAGCCAGGGCAGGAGGCTGGCTGGGTGGGAAGGCAGAGGAAGGACATTGTGTTCGAGCAGGGCAGGGCAACAGGGTGACATCAAGCTGCTCCTGGGGTGGCTGAGCCGACAGCCCAGGCAGCAGAAAGGTGTTCCAGGCATTCCTGAGTGTGTGCCCAGAGCTGGCACAGGAGGAGGCCCCAAGGGAAGAGTAAGGCAGGATGGCACATGGAGAGCTAGCGGGGCAGCAAGCATCCTCTCCTCCCAAGGGGCAGCCCACGGCTTCATCTGTCAAATGAGGAGATGACAACACCTACCCCATGTCACAAGAATCAAATGGGGAAAATACCACTATAAAACCACACCCCCAAGGGACCTAAAAGCTCCTCCTTTTCTTGTCCTGGTGGTATGCTGGTTCTGGAACCTTCTCTCTGCAGGGGGGGTGGGCATAGAGAGCAGAGGTCCCACCCCACTGGAGCGTCCAGTACATACCAAAGAGTCTGTGCCCTGAGGGGGCTCGGCTGAATGGCCCTCATTTCTGTAGTTCTTGTGTCCTATTAATAGAGCATCCTATCCCAGGAGAACCTTCACACCCAAGGAGACTTGTGCTTTCCTCCTCAGCTGTCCTTTCTCTAAAGCTGAGTTCACCTGCTCCTTGGCGGTAAAGATCAAAGCTGGGAGAGAGATCTAGAGCCCACCACTTTACCCAAACAAAGCATTACTGCTTAGCCTGGGACTATCACCTCAGATGCAAAGCTTAAGGGGGTGCCAACAAAATCAGTCATCAAGGTAAGTAAAATTTAGTGCCATATTTTCTTAAAGAATAAAAATCAATGCAAAAAAAAAAAATCCCACAATGAACAGTGTCAATGTTTTAAATAAAGACAGGATCTGAGGGGCGCCTGCGTGGCTCAGTGGGTTGAGCCTCTGCCTTCGGCTCAAATCGTGGTTTCGGGGTCCTGGGATCGAGCCCCATATCCGGCTCTCTGCTTAGCGGGAAGCCTGCTTCTCCCTCTCTCTCTACCTGCCTTTCTGTCTACTTGTGATATCTCTCTCTCTCTGTCAAAAAAATAAATAAAATCTTAAAAAAAAAAAAAAAGACAGGATCCAACAGAACCATGCCCTGCCATATCGTGGCCCGAGGCAAAAGTAAATGTGTGCCCCTAGATCCGTTAAGGAAGACAAGCTAGGGACTTCAGGACCCAGGGAACACAGAGATGAGTTCCTTGGCCTCGACTGGAAGTTTAAGAAGGCAGCAACCCTAAAATGCCAGTGGGTACAGATAATACAAGCCCCCAACAAAAGCCTATTCACTCAAGCCAAGGACCAGGAAGGAGCAGCCTGGTAAAATGGAAAACTTTAAGACAATCACCACTCTACCCCAGCCAGGCACCCCCGCAAAAACCATGGCCCCATCCCTACCATCCCCATCCAGGCTAGCAAAGGTTGAATTGGGAGCCAGAACTTCTACATGACTCTCGCAGGAAAGAGTACCCTTCTCCACCTCCCCAACAATGGATGCTCTTAGCAGAGAGGAAAGTTAGGGCTTACACAGCACTGCCCACACTGAAGGAGGCCACCCCCACCCCAGACATATTTGTAATGTCAGTGGAGACCACATGGGAAGCATTAAGGAGGCATTCCTACCCCTTCTGTCAGGGAGGTGTCCGTGGAAGTCAGGGGCAGAGCTATAATTTTAAAAAACCCTCCCCAAAAGAAATCTTCAGGCCCAAATGATCTCATGGGAGAATTCTAGAAAATGTTTAGAGAATATTTAACACCAATTCTACACAGACTCTTCCAGAAGATAGAAGAGGAGAGACTACTTCCCAGTGAACTGATAACCTATTACTATCCGGAGACCAAAAATCAGACAAAGGCAGTGCTAAAAAAGGGGAAAGCTATATACCAATATCTCCTATGAATATAGACAGAAAAATCTTCAACTAAGTGTTAGCAAATGGAACTCAGCAATATTTGAAGAGAGTTACACATCATGACTAAGTGGGATTTATTCCAGGGATGCAAGTCTAGTTCAATATTAGAAAACCATCCATGTAACTCACCATATTAGCCAGCTACAGAGGAAAAAAAAAATCACACAATCATATCAAGGCAGAAAAGCAATTGACAAAATGCCTCCTGTAGTCCCACACAGACTTGATTACTGTAGGTATGTAATAAATCTTAAAACCAGGTAGACTAATTCCTCCCACTTTGTTATTTTTTTTTCCAAAATTGCTTTAGCTAGTTTAATTCTTTTACCTTTCCATATAAACTTTAGAATAATCCGGTGTGGTCTTGCAGAGGGATATACCTCCCAATGATGGGAGCAACAGAGAACCCAAAAATCAACTGGCACAAATATGCCTGACCGATTTTTTTTTTAAAGATTTTATTTACCTATTTGACAGACAGAAATCACAAGTAGGCAGAGAGGCAGGCAGAGAGAGGGAGAAGCAGGCTCCCCGCTGAGCAGAGAGCCCGACATAGGGCTTGGTTCCAGGACCCTGGGACCACGACCTGAGCCAAAGGCAGAGGCTTAACCCACTGAGCCACCCAGGCGCCCCAGCCCAACTGATTTTTGACAAAGGTGCAAAAGTAACTCAATGAAGACAGATGATCTTTTCGACAATGATGATGGAGCAAGTGGATATCCAGAAGCAAAAAGACAAAACAAAACAAAAAAAGGAACCTCCACCTAAGTCCATACTCCATACAAAAATGCTCTCAAAACGTAAAACTATAAAACTTTAAGGAAAAGAAAATAGGGAAAAGTCCTCACAATCTAGGGTTGGGAAAAGCCTTCTTCCACTTGACATTAAAAGCATAAATACAAATGAAAATATTGATGAATTGATCATCATCAAAACTATTAAAAACTTTTGTTCTGTAAAAGACCTGTTCAGAGAATGACAAGACAAGCTACAGATGGGGAGAAAATATTTGCATGGTATCTAAAATATGTGCTGGTATCTAAAAGATATAAAGAAATTCCAAAACTCAATGGTAAAAAGAAAAAATCCAGGGTGCCTGGGTAGCTCAGTCAGCTAAGCATCTACCTTTGGCTTAAGTTATGATGCCAGGGTTCTAAGATCTAGTCCTGCTTCGGGTTCCCTGCTCAGCGGGGAGCCCACTTCTCCTTCTGCTGCTCCCCCAGCTTGTGTGTTCTCTTTCTCTCTGACAAATAAATAAAATCTTTTTAAAAATCCAATTATAAAGTATGCAAGAAACATACGACATTTAAGAAGATATACGGATGGCAAGTAAATACATAAAAAGATGTCCAATAGCATTAGTCATCAGAGAAATGCAAGCTAAAACCACAATGAAATGTTACTACACACCTATCAGAATGGCTAAAATCAAAAATAGTCACAATGCTTAAAGCTGGTGATGATGCAGAGAGAATGGGTAAATCATACATTTACACTGATGTAAATACAAAATGCCATAGGCACTCTGGGAAACAGTTTGGCAGTTTCTTAAAAAACTAAACATGCAACCATCATATGATCCACTAATTATTGATTTATCCCAGAAAAATGAAAACTTACATTCATGCAAAACCCTGTGCATGAATGTTCAGAGCAGCTTTTCATAGCCCCAAACTGGCAACACCCCAGCTGTCCTTCCACCGGTGAACAGTTCCACGAGCCGTGGCCCGGCCACACAGTGAACCACCGTTCATTAATAAAAAGAAATGGGCTGTTGCTGCGTGCAACAACTTGGATGGATCTGCAGGGAATTCTGCAGAAAGAAAGCCAGCCAATTTCAAAGGTTGCAGACTCTATGATCCCATTCATATGGGCGTCTTGAACTGACAAAAGTATAAAAATGGTGAACGTATGGGTGGTTGCCGCAATTAAGGAGGGGGTGGGGGAAGGAGGGGAGCAGGTGTACCCATGAAAGCATAACATGAAGGATCCTTCTGGTGATTAAAGACTCTGTATCTGGACCGTATCAATGTCCAAATACTGGTTGTGATATTGTACTTTAATTTTGTAAGATGTTTTTGGGAGAAACTGGGGGATGGATGGGAACATGGACTCTCTCTGTATTCTTTCTCTCTCTCTTTTTTAAAAGATTTTTATTTATTTATTAGAGAAGAAAGAGAGAGCGAGAGACCACATGCAGGGAAGTGCAGAAGCAGTCTCTCTGGGATCATGATCTGAGCCAAAGGCAGATGCTTAACTGGTTGAGCCACCCAGGTGCCCCTGTATTATTTTTTACAACTTCATCTGAATCTACAGTTATCTCAAAATTAAAAGTTTAATTTAAAATATGCATACAAACGTGTCTATAGGAAAACACATTGTCCTCCCTGCGTCAGACGCCAATACGGCTCAACACCGTACGGCCGGGCTCTTGACAGGCATTCCATCTCAGCTCGTCTCCTTGACTTGCGCAATACAGAATCGGGGTACACCGTCTGACTGCAGACTAGATTACTCAAAGACAAAACTCTCCTGGGAAATCTGGGCTCTGAATACATCCAGCCTCCTAACACCTCCTTTACTCCCAATCATTCTGTTTTCCAGGATCTGAGCCCTTCTAGAGCTGAAGGAGAGGCCCATGGTTCACCCTCTCCAGGTAGCGTGTCTCTAAGGAAAGTCCCTGGATTTACTTAATGTCACCATGATCAGCCAGGATGTTTGTCTCAATGCTTACTGCAGGTCTAGAGGTCTGGAATTTTAACAGGCTCCCTACAGTGCAACCAACAGGGCTCAACTTTGGCTGAAGTTGTGATTTTCTGGAGAGGCACAAGGAGTTCCCATGCTGGGACGTACTCTAAAAGGACTTTCTGAAAGGGAAGAGGTGAAGTGGGGACTGCTGGGCCTGTCTGGGCTCCTACCCCATTGAGGACACAGAAACATCCCCCCACCATGCCCTGGGGCCATCGTCCGGGAGCTCACCGCAGTGTTCGGCTCAATGAGGCGGTGCTGCAGTTTCTGGGCATCTTCCCATTGCCCTGTGAGGCACAGTCGCTCCAGCTGGCACACCTGAGGCCCCAGGACGTTGGCCAGGGCACACACGCCCCCCACAGCTCCTGCCCCACAGTAAGATTGCAAAACATCAGCCAGAGCTGCTTCTCACGGGTGATTCTAAATCCTGAGCCCCCGCCCCTCTTATTCTGGGGAGAAAGGATGTGGATTTCCATGCCGCTGGCTAGCCATGTCCAAGCCACGCTCTGTGAGTCCAGAGTCCAGATTTCCAGAGTGAAAAGCTGACAGCATATTTGAAGTAGGATCCCACAGGCTGAAGGTCAGGGAACAGAGCCTGAAGGCTAACTTAAGGACAGTTCCTCCCCTGCACTCCTCAACACACCTCCCAGACTGAAGTCCCACCTGCCAGTTGACAACACCTCCACTAGCCTCTGACTCATCAGTCCGGGAAGGGCATGGAGTGGACGGGAAGCCTTCGCTCTTCTGAAATCTGATTCCTCCCCCTCCCCGGTGAATTCAGCCTGGGATGACGCTGGGGGTGGGGGGCAGTGGAAGGAGCCCTGGACAGAGTCAGGAGACCACGTATTTCCTCCCACTGGCAGCATGAATTTGCACGAGTCACAGACCTCCCAGTCCTCTGTTCTCATTTGGGCAGTGAAAACGGGCTGGCTGTGATCTCGGGAGGCCTTGCCACTCTGCCAACCTGCGATGTGATTCTAAGGCTAGTTAGGGGTGACCCTAAGCATGGTGGCCTCAAGACCGGAGAGTGGGAAATTTGGAATGAGCTAAGATAGCTGCCATTTAGTGATCCCCACTCTATGCCAGTCACTATGCAGACACACGGCCGAGGCTCTCACATTCTCAAGACACCTCCCTGCTTTACAGAGTAGAGGCTCAGGCCAGCGAGTTTGTACACCCTGCCCGGCAGTACTCAGTAAGTGGCCAAGCTGAGATTCCAACTCACATCCCCCCACCTGCAGGGCCCGTGCTCTTTCCATCTACTCCGCCCTCAGGAACAAGGCTTCAATGGGTCCCCTCTTCTGGCCTTGCACTTTGGAGACTGCGACGTGGCAGAGGAGAGATGTGCAAGGACCCAGGCTGCAAGCCACAGTCTGTGCAGACCAGAGGAGAGGATCCACAATTGCCCCCTCAGCGCCGGACAAGTAACGCAGATCTGGACTTCCTGGGGCTTCAGCCCAAGGAAGCCGATGCTTCCTCTCTTCCCCGCTCCGGGGCTCAAATCCAACCTGAACCCAAGGAGCCTGACCCACAGCAGACCAGCACAGTTGCTTTAGTAGTGACATTCCTCGGATCCTGGACTGGAACAGAATCAGGTAGCTGAAGATCCCAGGCCCAACCCTCTAGGTCTTACTGTTCCTTCTGGCCTGGCCCCGGCGGGGGCGGGGGGTGGAGGGGAAAACACACTCCTGGACCAGAGGAAAGGCCCCAAAGCCTCTGTTCTCAGAGGACGACTTACAAGGTGAGATTAGAAGAGATAAATTTGTTAACTAAGCAGAGAGCCTGGGACTTAGAACAAACTTCAGGCATCCCTGCTACAGACAAGGACTACACATGGCCACTGTCTTCTGCCCAGAAAGGTCACTCGTAAGCCTCCGATATTCAGACAAGCAAGGCAAAAGAACCCTGCAGACCCAAACCCAGCCTTATGTGGGGGCCTTGCTGTACCACCCACCGCGACAGTGCAAGAGCAGCAGGAGGCCTACCCACGGCATAGCTGGCCAGCAGGAAGCCAGCCGATCCAGCCAACACTTGAAAGTCCTGCCTCCTGGTCTTGTGAACCAGCAGCCCCAACCTGGTCACCTGCAACAGCAAACCTGTGTGAACGCTAAGCCTCGAGCTTCCACGCCACGCGAGACGGGGGCTGGCCAAGGGTGGGGGAATGAGCGCCTCGGCCCCAAAGAGCTCCCCTCAAACTTGGAGAGAGCCTCAGAGAGCCCACACGGTGGGAAGAACCCCAACAGGAGCCCAGGACTGAAGTGGGTCCCAAAGCCTCCCTGAAGCTGAGAGCCTGGGAGAAGAGGAAGGACCCCAGTGGGAGCCACTGCCACTCACGTCACCACCACTGTCCTTGATGCCCACGATGTTTGGGTGCTGGGAGAGCGTGACCACCGCATCCACGGGCAGGTCCAGCCCCGTGTTGGCTGGGACGCTGTAGAGCACCACAGGAATGGGGGAGAGGTCAGCGACCTGAGGGAGGCAGAGAAGAAGGGAGAGGCAGAGGGCAGCTGCCCCAGGCCTGAGGAGCCCCAGGCACTGCCCACCACCAGCAGCTCCGGGCCTGGGTCCCCGCAGGGCCTCCTGGACAGGCCAACCTCCTGGACTAAGAGTCACAGTGCTGTGTTCCTTGCTTATAAATGATAATAATAACATTTCATGAGTGCTTTCTATGTGCCAGGCTCAGTTCTCAGTCCTCTGTATTTCGATGGAATTAGGTCCTTGCAATGACCCCATGAGGAAGCCACCATCATTTCTCCCCTGTGAGAGGTGAGGAAACAGCCATACAGTGTGGCTGGTCAGTCGCCCAGCAGCATCCCTCCCCGTTCCCCCAGATGCCATTCATGGGAAATGGGCTCTCCTCTCGGGCCCCAGCTTCTCTATCTCTTCTCCTCCTCCAGCCTCCTCTTGGTCGCAGGCCCCAAACCCATGCCCATGCCTCACACCCACCTTAGTGTAGTGGTGAATGAGGGCCGCACTGCTCATGCGGCCACGATAGTAGCAAGGGGTCACCACGATGGCAGCATCAGCCCCAACCTGGGCCATGCTCACAGTCATCTCCACGGTGGCTTGAGTGGCTATAGGAAGAAAGAGGGAGTCTTCCCTCTGTGGCCTATAGGCTACAGCAGGCAACATGGCGGGGAACAGCAGGAGGCAGAAGGGCAGGGCTAGGATCCCAGGGCAAGCAAGGGGTTCAGAAGAGACAGAACCAGTAGCCTGAACCAGCCCCAGGGCCAAGGAACCTGGCTCCCCACCAGCCCCAGGCACACCCCCCCAACCCCCCAAGCCCAGAGCACCATGGGCTCACACTCGCAGCCGGAGCCGGCTAGCAGGAGTTTGTCCTTGGGCATGGCCTGGCGGACTCGGCTCACCACCTCCAGCCGCTCACTGCTGGTCAGGAAGGGAAACTCGCCATTGGAGCCCTGGACCACGAAGCCTGCAAGAGAGGTCCTATCACAGCCAATGCCTTCCCATCCTCTGCAAACAACCGGGACATTGGTGGTACATGCACCCGTGTTCTACCTTCCCAACACCGTAGCTTTTCACACATTTCCTTCCCATCTTTGTCCTGATGCAGGCAGAATGTTTTACCCAGTTCTGACGGCAGTGTCCGCACCATTTTCTTTGTGTTAATGAACTATCTTAGCTATACCCCAAAGAATAGATAATAATAAAATCCACAGGTGTGTACCCAGCACCCATGGCAACCCTCCCCTGATCACCTTTTTCTTCCTCTTCTAGCTGTCCTGACTTGGGTGTCATTGTTCCCATTCATGTCTTTATCCCCTTAAGATGTACATATTGACCCATAAACAAGACACAAGACTTTTTTTGCCATGTAAGTTTTACAGAAACTGAATCAAACTCTTAACAACGTTCTGCGGTTTGCTATTTGTGCTCAAGATCATGTTGTGACCTTTGTCCACAGCAGTACACAGTTCTGGTTCATTCGTTTTAACTGCCATTATATTCTATGGTGAGGTTCGACGATACTTTACTTTTCATTCTCCTGTTGGGGACATTTAGAATGTTTCCTTAGTTTTGCCATCACAAATAATGCTAAAACAAACACGTCCACTAAAGTCTTCTGTGCCCATGTCTGAGCTGCTCTACAGTTCACTTGGGTGTGTGACTGCTGAGTCACACTTCCATGTATCTTCACGTGCCAAACGTCTGCCTCATTAGCTGGTTTGCACCCCGTTGGCTCATGGAAGGGTCTGTTAGTGTTCCTCCTTGCCAACACTGGGCAGAATTCATTTTTGCCAATTTTCTGGATGAAAGTGAGAATTAATTTTTTCCAATTTTCTGGGTGAAAAGTGACATCTCGTGATCTTATTTTGCATTTCCCTCTTTGATCGATCACCTGAGAGGTTTCTAATGCCACCCCGTAAGGTGTCAACCCTTTTACATCACAGAATTGATGCTCTTTGGCTGAATCCGAAGGGAATGTTAGTATAAAACCACTTTCCTCTCTGCTTCTTTCATTTCACTTTCTCTTTCCTCTTCTTCCTCCTCTCTACTCCATTCCATTCCAAAAACAGTGTTCTAAAAAAGGCTGACAGACACAGCCTGTGACACAACAAGATTATTAATAAATAGGAGACCGCTTGGGAGAAAGGAAAGAGAAGAAAGCTGGGGGGCGATACTGATCCACAAAATCCCTGCAGGCAGTTGAGAGACGGGCCTTCGCTTTGATTTGGAGCTTCCTGACAGTCAGAGCTAAAAGGGAAATGTGGTCAGCTGACAGATCGTGGAACGCAAGATAAAAGCAAAGCAGCTGCCCCAGAGACACAGAGTTTCCTGGCATCGGGACCAAGAGAGACTGTTCCCGTGAGTCATCCTTAGGGGACACGGTGTGATGGAGAGTCAACTTTTCACCACAAACCTTTTTCCATGCTGTTCACGACAGCATCAGATTCCACGGGGTGGATTGCCACAATGGGTCCCTGGATATGTAGCATTTTGCTAGCATTGCCAGGAGCATCTTGAGGCAAATAGTTTTTGGCTTCTGTTGTGTTACCTCCTCGGGGTCCATTTCTCCATGTCAGGCCAGGAGCCTCCTTCTGTCTTGTTACAAAAGGTGCTAGTGGTTTCTCAGTGGGTTCTCCTGCCCCCAGCTGTGGGGTTGCCAGCCCCAGAGAGGAATGGACCAGCCTCCTCTACTTAGAGGTCGAGGATTCTGAGATTGAACTTTTGCCCCTCCCTCTATGAAAAAGGCTCCAAAGACACCTCCCTCCCTCCGAAACCCTGCCGGCCACCGGGCTGGGCCAGCTCCTGCTCCAGTCACTTCTTCAGCAGTGCTCACTCTTCCCCAAGCCCCCTTCCATTCTGGTGGCCAGTTCCAGGGACTCCTGGACCCAGTAGTTTTGCACTCTCAGAGGGGAAGCAGGGCCCTGGACTCAAGACTCGCCCGATGGCCTTTCCCTTGTCTCAAGTAAAGGAGCATGTGACCCAGGCCTGACTCCTAAGGAGGAAATCAGGCCTGGCCGGGGAGGAGGGAGTATCACAGAGTCGATGAAGGACTTGGACCCAACTCCCCTTTTGAGTGAGTTACATCATGTCTCTGAGTCCCCATTTCCTTTTCTATGGGATAACAATAAAAACATTTTGATGTTTGGGGAGCCTGGGTGGCTCAGTGGGTTAAAGCCTCTGCCTTCGGCTCAGGTCATGATTCCAGGGTCCTGGGATCGAGCCCCACATCGGGCTCTCTGCTCAGCAGGGAGCCTCCTTCTCCCTCTCTCTGTCTGCTTCTCTGCCTACTTGTGATCTCTGTCTGTCAAATAAATAAAATCTTTAAAAATTTTTTCGATATTTTTAAAGGCCCAGACAAGAAAATGTACACGAAAGCACTTTGAAATCTTTAAAACGATGCTGCCAACAGCCCCCTCCCTCTTCTGGGTGGGATATCCAGTGTTAGGCCTGCTATGCCTCCCTTGGTGTAGAGAGGGGACTAGAGGAGGGGGAGGGCCAGGGTCCTGGATGGGTCAGGAGTGAAGACAGTGGGTGTTGGAGGAGCAGTGTGGTGGAGTGGCTCAGATGCATAGACTGAACTCAGGAAAGACTGAGTGTAATTCTCAGTGCAGGACCTCATCAGCTATGAGATTTTTTGGGGGGTGGGCGGTAAAATGGCTTCACCAAACCTCAGCTTCCTCACATGAAAAGTGGGGACCATACAGTGCCCTCCTTAAAGAGTTGTGAGGCTTAAATGAGATACTATTTGTAAAGTGCTTAGATTAGAACCTAGCAGTGTTCGCTGAGAATTAACACTGGTACAATACCAATGGCAGTCTTTGAATTTTGTTTGAAACTTTTAAAGATTCCAAATTCATCAGCAGCTAACCTGAGATCTTACGAAATAAACTTTTAATAAGGGATTTAAGGTCTTCCAGATAAATGCATGCATTTTATACATTTTTGCAATCACTTTCAGAAGTCACACCTTACCACCCTTGCTTTTTTTTTTTTTTTTAAGATTTATTTATTTGACAGAGATCATAAGTAGGCAGAGAGGCAGGCAGAAAGAGAGGAGGAACAGGATTCCCGCTGAACAGAGAGCCCGATGTGGGGCTCAATCCCGGGACCCTGAGATCATGACCTGAGCCAAAGGCAGAGGCTTAACTCACTGAGCCACCCAGACGCCCCACCACCCTTGCTTTTTATCTACTTTGGGAGCCTCCAACATTTTCTAGAGTGACTGAATATTTTTTTTCCATTGACATTTTTGTTACAAAGCATTTTTTTTACATTTTTTATTTGATAAATTACTTTATTTTTAATGTAGGCCTCATACACAATGTGGGGCTTGAACTCATGACCCTGAGATTAAGAGTTGCAAGCTCCACCAACTGAGGCAGCCAGGCACCCGTTATGAAGTATTTTAAATTTGAAGAGTATATATATATATATATATATATATATATATATATATATATACATATGCACACACGCATATATATTGACATATATATAAAGTCACTTATTAGTAATTTTTAAAATATTCAAATACTGGGGCATCTGGCTGCCTTAGTCAGTGGAGCATACAACTCTTGATCTCGGGTTTGTGAGTTCAAGCCCCATGTTGGACGTAGAGATTACTTAAAATCTTTAAAATAGATGGATAGATAGAGGAAATCAAATACTTCCAATTATGCCCCATAAAATCAATCAACAACGTTTAGGGTGTTTGTCGATTTATCCATCTTTTGGAAGGATCTTTTAGGGTGCTTTCTCCTGGGAGTGTGAGGCCCACAGGCTGGAAAACACTGGTAAGTTTATTAACAGATACCAATGGTACATTTCCGTGTAAAGGAGCCGCTGGGGGTTAGAGCTGCTGTGTAACTGACTTCTCCCCACTTTCATGGGAGAGACAGCTGCCTCCCTTGAACTCCCTTACTGGAGGTCACCCCTTACCCCAGAAATAGCTTCTTGGGACCCAGGAAGAGGAGGCAGGGGGAGTCCCAGGCTTGAGGGAGGGTACAGAGAGTCAGGACATGTGGTAAGAAGACAGAGGTAAGCATGAGAGACGGAGCCCTCCCCATAGGGCCAAGGGGCACTGGTCTGAGGGGCAGCACAGGGGAGGACTCGGGGTCTGAGCCTTGGAGTCGGGCAGAGCTGGGCTCTAACTCCAGCAACACCACTGTCTATGCCCTGTCAGGAGAATCACGTCTCTGAGCTCAGGGGTCTCATCTGCAAGATGGAGATAACGCAATACTGTCTCCATGGGACTGGGCCGTACACTTCACACAGAACGCGCCATATGCTAAAACTAGAAAGGAAAAAAAAAAAAAAAAGAGGGAGCTGCTGGTAGTACTAGTAATACTCCCAGTTAGTGCTGGCAGCAGCCACAGCCGCAGCCATAGTACGATGAGCAAGAGAGAGTATACGGCACAACAGCTCTGAAGGTAGGCAGGGGAAGGCACTCATGGGGATCCCAGTGGCCCCGGAAAGCAGGGAGAGAGCCCTCCAGTGCAGGACTTGAGCAGCAGTAGACAAGGTGAAGATGACACCAAGAAGACTAGAGACCCACAGCCCACCTTGCTTACTAGCTCCTGAAAGCCTGTCTCTCTCCCCACCTCCTGAAACCCGGCTGCTCCCTCCTTCCCTGGCCACCAATGGGTTGGTGGGTGCTGAGCTCACAGAAGACATCTCATCCCCAGAACCTGAGACCCGGGGAAGCTGATTTATGGAGTCTTGAATCAGCCCAGCAAAAAGCCCAGGCCAAGGGCCTCATGAAGATGACTGTGGGAGTAGGAAGCCTCTCCCCATATCCCCGCCCAGTCCTGAGGCTGGCCACAGAGACCCCTGACTCAGAATGAGGGTATACAAGGCTTTATTGGCTCAGTTCCAGGCATCTGGCGCCGGTCTGGGGCTCTCAGCTTCTCCTGGGATCTGCCTCGCCCATCTTCTCTCGGTGGGTCTTCAGGGGCCCGCTGAGTGTGTCTCAGCTGCTTCCCTTCCTTCCATCTTCCCCTCCATCAGGAGCCATTCTCTGCAGCAGACCCTCAGAGACTCGAAGGGGCCCAGGAGCTCTGTGGGGGGCTGAGGAGGAAGGGGTTCGGGTGGCAGCCTCTCACCCTGGGCCACACAGGGTGCCCTGCAGGAGAGAAAATAGGCCTGCAGTCGTGTGCCAGCCCTGTCGGGGGAAGGGGATCTCCATCTGTGGTTAGGTGGCTTCAAAGGGGTGGTAGGTCTGCTGGCTACGGTTGGGCAGACTGTGGCTCTGGTGGCTCTGATAACCCTGGTGGCCGTGGGGACCATGGCCGTGGAAGGTGTGCGTGTGGTTCAGGCCAGCTACCGCGGTGTCTCGCTGCATGAGGAAGTTCCCCTTCAGCTTCAACTCCACCTCCTCAAGGGCCTTCAGCTCCTCCTGGTTGATGTCTTTGGACTCCAGGTGGCCTGAGTTCTGGTACGTCATGGCGCGCTGCAACATGGAGTTAGCCAGCTGCTGTCCCAGGCTGTCAATCTCCTTGGTGCAGGCAGCCACAGCGGCCCACGTGGCCGCGTCCGTGGACGAGGATTTTCCTGACTCCCTGTGGGTCTCTTTGGTCACCGAGGAGCCAGACAACCTCTGCTTGGTGGTGAAGGCCTCCCGGTGCACGGCTGTGCCCACCTCGCCTTGCCTGGTGGTGACGGTCTCCACGTGCACCGTGGTGCTGGCCTTCCCGCCGCTCTCAGGGGGAGGCGTGGTGCTGCTGCTGCAGGAGGCCAGCTTCTCCTCAGAAAGGCGGCTAAAGTGCGATTTAATCCAGTTCTCATTCTTTGCTCTGTGACCTTCTGGTGGCTCCTGCTCCTCCTGTGAGGGCACAAGGAATGTCTTCCGTCTCTTCTTCCTCTGCATCCACAGCATGAGGCCTCCACCTCCGAGTAAGAGGGCAGCCCCCAGCACCACCTTGCATGATGGTTGCTGGATGAGCTCCAAGATGGCCTCCAGGACCCTAAGCCAGGCAGGCAGAGCTAAGAGCACACTGGGAGTGAGGGAGCCCGGATGGTCTGGTTCATGCTTGAAAGGGCAGGTTCCCTGAGGCTGTCTGACAGGCAGGCCACCAGTGGGACCCTTCCTAGGATGCCCCTCCCACCTCAGCAATGAAGCCCATTGTGAGGAAGGTGGCTAGGGGGCGGGGTGGGGAGAGGCCACAGCATCCCCCCCATCCAACCTGGCAGGCGTTTCCTGAGGCCCAAGTCCGGTCTCCCACGCTGACAGCTGTCCCCAAGGTCAGTGGGAAACTAGCTTCCCTAATTCTGAGTCCCTTCTGCCTTCTGCTTGTGACCCATTCTGTGACTCAATCCTTCTTTTCCAATCTTTGGTTTCTTTCCCTCTCCATCCGGTGGCCCCCAGGGGGCAGGAGCCACTGACCACAACTGAAGGACCCCCTTGGTTGGGCTGGCCTCCATTCCTGGCAGTCTGACGTCGGTGTCTCCTTTCATTTAGGGCCACCCCTGCTGCCAGCTGAGCTCATTCCATCCCCATTTGCAGCCCCAACCCCTTTACAGAGCAGGATCCAGATGGAAAGGGGCCCAGGAAGGAGCTCATTCTAGAATAACATGAGGTCACAACTGAGAGGAGACAAGCAGTGAGCTGAGAAGGCAGAGTGGGTAGGATAAGGGTCTTTACCAGATCCCAGATCCCAGGGGCCATTCCAGGATGGTGGCTGCTATGTCTTGTCTTAGTGATGCACCTGCAAACCCAGAATTTGCTCCCCTCCCCCTGTGCCTTGGTTAAACAGGCACAGTTTAGATGCTGAGCAGGTGGGCCACCTGACCAGACTCTCTGTAGGTACAAACAATGGAGAGTTTGACCTATAATCCCAAATTACATCCAGAGCCTCTCAGGGGTAGAAACAAACCTGGGCTCCTCTATTTTTCTCCCAGAGGCATCTAACACACTTTTTAAAAAACACATTTCACTTTTAAAAAGCAAATGCCGGGACACCTGGGTGGTTCAGTCAGTTAAGTGTCTTCCTTCAACTCAGGTCATGATCCCAGGGTCCTGGGATCACACCCCACATCGGGTTCCCTGCTCAGCGGGGAGTCTGCCACTCCCTCTGCTGCTCCCCCTGCTTGTGCTCTCTCTCTCTGTCAAATAAATAAATATTAAAAAATAAAAGAAGTAAATGCCAAAACAGGGTTGTGAAAATTGTGATTTCTTAAAAAGGATTTTATTTATTTATTTGACAGAGACACAGTGAGTGAGGGAACACAAGCAGAGGGAGTGGGAGAGGGAGAAGCAGGTTCCCGGGGAGCCCAGTGTGGGGCTCGATCCCAGGACCTTGGGATCATGACCTGAGCCGAAGGCAGATGCTTAACAACTGAGCCACCCAGGCTCCCCATAAAATTGTGACTTTTTAAAGCAAAATACTTCTATTTAATTAGAAGTATACATACTAAGGGAATGAGACATATGCTCAAAGTTTTATGGGAAACATCATCTCCCTAGTCCTGCTGAAGTAGATCTATGTTGTCTGCTGACCTCATTTGGAAATAACAATTCAAAGTTCATCTCTGAGGTTGTTTGTGGGAGTGAGTTCAGGGCCAAATGGCCCCTCTGCAACAATTTTAGCCTCCAGTCTCCAGTTACAACTTTCATTTAAAAATGATACTCTTTATACAAATCGTCAGTAAAAATTAACAATGCAAAAATGAGAAATAAAGAGAGCTACACAGTTTCAGGCAATACCTTCCAGAAGAATCTCTAACTGTTCACTGATTCATCAAGGGCAGATTCCTACCTCCCCTTTAGATGACCTTTAACTTACTGCAGGAGGCCCTGGCAATGTGGTATGTGATGGCTTCCTCCTCTGCCCCTGAGTGTTGGGCAGCAAAACCAAAGCGGGAGACCAGAATAGGGCCAGAGAAACACCGTCTGTAGAGCAAAACTTGTTCACGGCTCCTTTCCCAGGCATTCTGGCTGCGTCCTGGGAGCAGGGACAGAACCCTATGGGCTCTATTCTTTGTGCCAGGACCTCACACTTGAGCTCTTGGGGGAGGAATGCATTAACCCTGTGGCTCAGTTCCATTCTAAAATGAAGAAATCAGATGATTTCTCCAAGGTCGCCATAACTGACAGATCCAGGATTCTTACCCAGGCCTTGTAACTGCGGATGCTGAGCTCTTTCTACCCAGCCCACTGCCTCCCTGGTGTGTGGGTAAAAGAGAGATGGGGCAGGAGCAGGAACCTGTGTGGGTTGCATGGGAAACAGGCTAGTGGGCACCCCACGAGAACAGGAACTGGAGGTACCCTTCGCCCATGCCTGTGCTCCTGGACAAGCCTATGCCCTCTGCAGGAGTGGATGAGCAGGTAGGAGGGAAGGAAGGGTCCAGAGAAGAGCCTGGGGGTGTCAGTGGATTCTCTGGGTCGCAGGAAGACACTGGATGCAAAGTTCACCCCACCCCCAGCACCAGGGTGTCCTTGAACCTGGAGTGTGAAGCAGAGTCTTCCTGCCTCTTAAGATTCAAGGAGTGAGGGGTGCCTGGCTGGCTCAGTCAGTGAAGCATGTGACTCTTGATCTTGGCGTCATGAGTTCAAACCCCACACTGGACGTAGAGATTACTTAAAAAAAAATTTTTTTTAAAGATTTTATTTATTTATTTGACAGAGAGATCACAAGCAGGCAGAGAGGCAGGCAGAGAGAGAGGAGGAAGCAGGCTCCCCGTTGAGCAGAGAGCCCAACGCGGGGCTCGACCCCAGGACTCTGAGATCATGACCTGAGCCGAAGGCAGCGGTCCAACCCACTGAGCCACCCAGGCGCCCCCCAAATTTCTTTTTTTTAAATAAAAGATTCAAGGAGCTTCTCCCTTTGCTTCAAGAGACCCTGGCCTCCGTGCAGACTTTCAGACCCCAGAGAGCTGAGCCCGAGCAGAAATTTACTTCAAGTTTGTGTCACTGCTCACTGTGGGCATCCACAGGGCATTCACCGTGCCCTAGGGAAGGCTCGCCTGCACCTCCGCCCTGAGATGTGGATGGGGTTTGGGTGAGGCCAGCAGTCACTGTCACAAAGCGGCTCTGACCACAGTGGTCCTAGTGACTGTGACCACTGGATCTGTAACTTCTAAGGTCCATCACCCTTCCCTATTCACTGTGTGCTTTCGTTTGCCCTCTCTCGGATTCTTCTCCCAGCCAGCCGGCGATGTGGACATTACTACTCCCAGGTGTCAGATGGGGAGACTGAGGTTTAGAGAGATGATCTCACAGCTAAGTCAGCGATGGAGTTGTGATTTGAATCTAGAGTCCACCGCCCCGCCACAGTCAGAACCTCTCCATTTCCAGAGCTGGTGCCAACCGGACTTTATTTGTTGAAACAGTCTGTTCTAGCAACTCAGTGGTTGGTGCAGGTGGTGTGAAACACCCCAGCGTAGTCTTGCAGTCAGACTTGGGTTCAAATCCCAGCTCCGCCATGTGTTAGGAATGACCTTGGGCGAGTGACTGTGTCACTCTGAGTCCCAGCTTCCCATCTGTGAAATGGGGCTAGTGAGGTTACCGCCTCAGGGACTTGTCACGGGTGACAGACGAGGGTGGGCAGGATGGGGGGAATTGACCCCTTCTTCTTCCCTTCACTTACTGTGGCTGTGGCTGTGTTGCACATTGATTGTTACAAGTGTCTGGTCCCTGACCTCGGTGAGGGGAGACCCATGCATAAAGAGAGAAATGAGTCAGAGGATCCAGAACAGGAATTAATTCTGCTGAGGAAGGCTTGGCTCAGAAGAGTGTGCAAACAAGGCTTTTAGGGAAATGAGCCCACTGGCTGGGTTGCCACGTGACACCCCTCACTGCCTTCACAGCCGCACAGTGTTCAGTTGACAAGGACTTTCGTACCCATTATCTAGTCTGAGCCCCACAATAATGCTGGGCTAGGAAGGCACTCTGGTAGTTTACAATCGGGGAAACTGAGACAGACGAGACTCAGTCAAGGTTTTAAGCTAGCAAGGAGCTTCCTGACTCTTAACTCCAGAACGGTCCCCTCTGCTCCTCTCCCATAATAAAATGACCCCTGGGCACCTAACTGTCTCTGAGCAGCTCCCTGGCTGAGGAGCCTGGGGTCATTCCCATCTTCCCCCACTCCCCCAGAGGACAGGTCCCACTTACCTCGGAAGGGGAAGGTACCCAATTTGTGCAGATTCTCCTCCAGTTTCTCATAGTCCACCTCTGCCGTGGCAGTGAAGGGGGTGGTCACAGGGGGGTAGATGCCTGCAATGTCCACCTTCCTCCCCTCCCCCGAGGCCCAACCCCCCACCTTCTTGGACAAGCCCCTGCTCAGCCCCTGCCTCACAGAGGACCAGATTCCACGGCCCAGCATCTCTGCGAGAGGCCTGAGGCCCAGCTGGTCTCTGCCCCTGTGTGACACGGAGTTTACACTCCTTCCTACCCTTGTTAATGATCAGTGTGTCTAGTTAAAAATTTGCTGCCCCCTGACTGTTGGCGCTGGGGTAGGCCTGGGCTGAGCGTCCCCAGGGTCAGAGACTAAGCCTGTAGGCCCCATGGCCATTCTCCCCTTAAGGAGCGGCTGGACAAATGCCACAGTCCAGTGTCCCTCTGGCCAGGCGCGGGGGCGGGTTCCTGGAGTACAACCCCGGGGAGCTTCTCTAGGAGGGGCCAGGTCGGGCCCTCCTCCTCCAGTTGCCAGCCCCGCCCGGGAGGCCGACTTCCGCTTGTAGGGCCGCGGCTGGCGGAGCCGATTGGCTGAGCCGCCCCTGCCCTGCGGGGTGGAAGCGTGGTTGGTGAGCGGCAGCCTGGGAACCGTGACTTCCCGCCGGCGCTCCGAGGCCCTTGATCCCCTGCTAGGCTCCTCCTGCGCGGGCGGGCCGCCAAGTGATGAGCCTGCGCTGGCCCTGCGGGACAGCGGTCACCAGGACGGGGGTGGGGGCGCGCAGCGGAGGTGCCGGGAGCAGGTGACCCGCGCTGGGATTTGGGAAGAGCGCTGGCAGGAAAGAAGCAAGAAGACGCCCGGGTAGGAAAAGCCATAGAGCTGGGTCCAAAGAGCTCCAACCCCCCTCTTCCCTGAACCTATCCTTGTTCCATTTTTCTTCATTCCTGAATGTTGCAGACACAAATGGACACAAACATCACCAATTGCAAACACTTTTTATTTTTTTTTATTGCGGTAGTTTGTGGGTGTCCCGAATCGCACGCAGAGGAATGGCAGGGTCCTCGGCTCTGTGGGCCGTTCTTATGACCCTCTGGCTGCGCGCGCAGGGGACAGCCTGGGTGCCCAGCTGGCCTGGGCCAGGTGTTTACTGGGCTGGCACAGGCTGGGGGGGCTCCTGCTGGGTCTCCTTGGGACCCTGCAGCCCATTCTGCTCTGACGCTGGCTCTCCCTCCGGGGGCTCCAGAGCCTGCCGGGTGTCAGCTTGCCACAGCTGCACCAGGTCCGTGGGGGTCTTTCCTGCCTGGGGGAACCAAGCGGAGATCTTGTCACTGCTCAGAAGTTTGTACCAGGAGGTTCCCTCATCTATACCGGGGGTTCCAATCAGGGGCAAGCAGCAACGTTTAGAATGTTTGCAATTGTCACAGTGAGGGGTGTGGGGATTACTGGCATTTGGTGACTAGAGGCCAGGGATGCTGCTTAAAGATCCTGTAATGCACAGGAGAGTTCTCTCATAACAAATAAATTTCCAGCCCCAAATGTCAGTAATGTCCTGGTTGAGAAATCCCCATCCACCTCCTCTGCACAGCTTCCTGACTTTCCCACTATCCCCTTAGTCTTTCTTGAGTCAGGGGGACGTTCCCATTCCCCTCTTTCGTGATTGCTCCGGGCTCCAAAGAAGAGCGTGGACTAAGCAACGTAGGACCCCGAGAGAACTCTAGACCCACACAGTGTGCTAGGGGTAGTCGTGCCAACCAAACGCTTAGGTTCCCTTCAGTTGGGTTCCTCCATGATTTTGGCCTCCTTAGGCCTGGACATTAGGACCCCCTCGGATCTATTTGGAGACCTTTGGGAAGTCCTCTTACTGTCCTTTCTGGCTGTTTCTCTGCACTTGCCCTCTGGACAGAGATAAGCATACAGAGATCTGGGAAGGTGGGTAGACCCCAAATTCCCAGGGTGCCCCGAGAGACCCTCCACTGTGAGTGTGCTCCGAGGGCAGGCAGAGTCTTTCTTAGTTCTGTGTTTGCTCTGAGTGCCCAGAGCAGAGCCTGTGTGAGCGGTGCACACTCGTTACCAAATCAGGGAAGGAATGGACTTACTAGGTTCTTGGTCATCATGTCGGCCCCGTGCAGGAGCAGCAGTTTGATGATTTTGTAGCGGTTGAGCCTCACAGCATCATGCAGGGCACTGTCGCCTTCCTAGAGCCAATGCGACACTCAGTATGGCCCACAGGGGCATGTGGATGCCCTCGGGCTTCCTGCACTCCTGGGATGTGGCTGAGCAGAAGGGGAGCTGGACACTCACTCTGTCCTTGGCATTGATGTCCAGGCCCAGGGATAGAAAGTGCTGCACAATCTCCACGTGCCCCGTTCGGACTGCCACATGCAGGGGGGTACTCAGGAGCTGTGTGGGAAGGAAGCAGGAACCGCTGGCTCAAGGCACCTGGACTGTGGTGCTTCTGGGTGGGAGGTTGTCCAAGCTCCAGCCTAATCCCCTCCCCAAGTCCCAGTGCCAGGGCCTGAGCCCCACAAGAACTGGGAATGCTACCATTTCCACCATGCTATCCAGTGGTCTACCTCGGAAGCATTCGACGCCTCGTCCTCTGCAAGGCCTTCTATGGTTCTCCTCTCACCCAGCTGCAAACAGCAGTGAGCTCTGCTGCCCTTCTCTTAATAATTATAATAGGTGCTATTAACTGAGAGGTAACTATGGGACAGGCATGGCAGAAGCTTATAAAACATCAGCCTTATGCTCAGTAAATAATTACATACACTTCCCCATCTAGTTATATAAGAATTCTGTAAGACGTGTGACAGATACGCCGCAGAGGCTCAGCGGCAGACCCTAGTTCAAGGCTGCACACAAAGGAATGAATGAACAGAAAAATGGTGGATGAAGAAACAAGCGAACAGATGAATAAGTGAACGGAGGGATGGACGGACAGATAGACAAAGGATGATGAAGGATTGCAGGGATGAACAAATCCTCCCACCTCTTTGGGGTGATCCCAAAACCCCCTAAATAGTGGATTTCTTCTCACTCTCTCCTCTGTCCTTCCTGCTCCCATCCCCAGATTGTCTCCAAGGACCTACAGGTGATGGCAAAGACCCCTTCCTGGACTCTGCAGCCCCTCTAGAAACCAGACTAGCTCACTATCCTGATTCCTGGGCTTTTCTGTTCTCTGCCCCTTGCCCTCCCTTCCCACCCATCCTAATACCTGTGAGCATTATTGCCTCACCTTGTCCCTCTTGTTCGTGTCTGCTCCTCGGCTTTGCAGGAGTTTTACGACCTCCAAGTGGCCCCCACGACAGGCCCAGTGCATGGCTGTGCAGTCCAGCTAGAAGGGAAAGATGGGGCTGTAGGGGAGGAAGTGCCCTAGGGAAAAGGACCTCAGCTAAGAGGGCTGGAGGAATCAAGGGAAAGAGGACAGGGAAGGGGCAAGGGCATGTCTATGCCTGGGCAGTGGACCAAGTGGAGCAGGAGAACCCTCGGGTCCAAGCCGGGTTTATGGAGGATGGCCCCAGGCCATACAACTCACTGGAGGCGGGGGCTGGCCCCAGAGGAAACCTGTTTGTGTCCCAGGTTGGCGGGAGGGAGGGTCCACTGGTGTTGGGCCCACCTCCTACCTCCCACCCAATGGGCATCTCTTACTCACCCGATCCTGGAAGTCTACAGTGGCCCCATGCTCCAGAAGCTTCTCCAGGATCTCCATGTGACCTTCCAGGGAAGCTCGATGAAGTGCTGTCCGGTGGAACTGTCCCCAGAGAGACTGTCAGGGCCTGATTTCTGGCCTCAGGCTGAGAACAGACCTTACCAACCATTTTGAATCTGATCCCTGTGTTTGGTCCCCATCAATTCCATGTTCTGGCAGCCCTTCATGTTCTATCCAGAGCAGTCTTGGAACCCTCTTATATCCTGGGCACTCTGACCTTCTCACCCTCCCCCACCCCCAAGCACATCAAGCTAGGTCTTGACACGGGCTGTTCCCTCTGCTGGGAATGCCCATTTTGCCCTTACTTCCTGTGAGTGACGAATTCTTGCTACTCCTTCAAGAGGCGGGACAGCTCAAGTGCCATTATTTAAAACCTCTAGGCCCGAGCTGGCCCCAGAGGTCCCAGAGAACCTTTCAGATAGGGTATTGGAAGGGCAGGCCAAGACTTACTAGACTGTTTGCCCTGGGTGCCTAGCCCAGGGCCAGAAGGGGCAGGTGCACACCCATGCCTGATTCAAGGAAGGAATGAATTTCAGCATTTTGCTTTGGTCTCTTGAAACCCTCAGGCCATGAGGCATATATTCCCATAGTGAAGATATGGTTATGTGTGGATCTCCCCCTTCTCTCAACCCTGGTCTTTCCTTTTATGTACTCCCAGCACCCGGCACAGGGCTTGAAGGTGGTTGGTGTTTGGATGGATCAAGAGGACTGAGACTCCTGAGTCTCAGGGAAGGGAAAGGCCATGTAGTCTAAGCCCACAGTAATGCAGGCTGCAGGGGATGACCATCAAATTTCTCAGTCCCAGGAGATGCATGTGAAATGTGAAAGAGGTGGTTTCAGGGAAAACAGAAGTGTGAAGGGCGATGGAAACATTTTGAAAATCGTGGTGATGGTTGCACAGCATGGGAAATATAATGAATGCCACTGAACTGTACACTTAAAATGACTAAAGTGGCGTGTTTCAGGTTATATGTATTTCGCCACTAGACAACAATCAATAAGTTTTAAAAGGAAGTGTAGGGGCGCCTGGGTGGCTCAGTGGGTTAAGCCGCTGCCTTCGGCTCGGGTCATGATCTCAGAGTCCTGGGATCGAGCCCCATATCGGGCTTTCTGCTCAGCAGGGAGCCTGCTTCCTCCTCTCTCTCTGCCTGCCTCTCTGCCTGCTTGTGATCTCTCTCTGTCAAATAAATAAATAAAATCTTTAAAAAAAAAAATTAAAAAAAATAAAAATAAAAATAAAAGGAAGTGTAATATACTATGCAACACAAAAAACAATATCATATCCTGCATGTGCTATAGTTTTTTTCTCCATTCACTAAATACTAACTGAGGCATTAATATTCCATTTGATCCCTGTGACATGCTCCGAGAGAAGCAGGTCGTTTTACAGAGGAGGAAACTGAGGCCAGAGCTAGCCAAAGGTCACATAGTTAGGGAGTGATAGAGATGGGATTTGAGCCCCAAATTCTTGGTTTGGGCTCTTATTATTTAATTCCATTCCCCTTTCTTCCCTAGAAGACCACATGACCTTTGTTACTCTGGAGGTAGTTCAAGGTGAAAAGGGCCTAAGGACTTAGATAAATTCCTGCCAAACCCCCTGCCGAAGGACCCCCAACGCCTGTTCTCAGGCCCACAAGTGGGCGGGCGGAGTGGGGAGGCAACTCTGAAAGGGAAGCAGACAGAAGGTACATGTAGAACTTCACCTGATCACAGGCGTCCGGGGAACCCCCGTCGGCCAGGAACTTCTCAATGATTTTCATTTTCCCTTCCACTGCCGCTTTCAGGAATGTCTCTTCTTCCACAGGGCAAGTCTGGAACGAA